TACCGCTGCCTGCCTTTATCTGTTAAAAGCAAAGAGGTTTGTGAGGGGAGAGTCAGACCCATCCCCAGTTGGGAAGAAACGATGCCATCAGAAGGGTTTAAGGGATCACCGGGCGCTTCCCTGCGCTGCTGGGCAGCAGCGACCAATGGAAAACCAAAAATCATTTGTTGTTTGTGTCATTTTGTGTCACCCCCACCACCTTTCTGACTCCTATTTCATGCTTTAAAAAAAAAAAAGAAACAGCCACCAACGTGCCAGAAGCCACCTGCGTCCCCCAGAAATCAATGGAGACTGATTGAAGGTTCATTGGGATGGAAGGAAGCGGGATTCATCCCAGCTCTCAGCAGACGGAGGATGGCTCCGCATCCCCTGGGCTCCTTGGCCGATGCTGGGGGAGGCAGAGCCCCGGGGCAGTGCTGGGGCCCTCCCTGGGCCACCCCCAGCTGGTTGGGTTTTGGGGTTTGTGCTGTAGTTTTGGTTTAAGGTGGGTTCCAGGCAGAACCCCCCCTCCCTGTGCAGCGGCGTCGGCTGAACCCGGAGCGGGCAGTGGGGTGGCAAAAGCAGAGCCCAAAGCCCCGTGCCAGCCTCCAACTGCTGGCCTCAGATTAAAAAATATAAATACTTTGTGTATGAGAGGGCCAGGTCTGTCCCACCCTGCCGCAAAGCAGAGAATCATAGAATTGCCCAGGCCGGAAGGGACCTCCAAAGGTCATCTAGTCCGACCCCCCCGCAGTCAGCAGGGACACCCCCAACTAGACCAGGTTGCCCAGGGCCTCGTCGAGCCTCTCCTTGAATATCTCCAGGGAAGGGGCCTCAACCACCTCCCTGGGCAACCTGTTCCAGTGCTCCACCACCCTCACAGTGAAGAACCCTCTCCTCATCTCCAGTCTAAATCTGTTCCCCTCCAGCTTGAAGCCATTGCCCCTCGTCCTGTCACTGCAGCCCTTTCTAAACAGGCTCTCCCCAGCCTTCCTGTAGGCCCCTTCAGGTACTGGAAGGCCGCTATTAGGTCTCCCCGGAGCCTCCTCTTCTCCAGGCTGGGCAACCCCAGCTCCCTCAGCCTGTCTCGTAGCAGAGGTGCTCCATCCCCCTGATCATCCTTGTGGCCCTCCTCTGGACCCTCTCCATCAGGTCCATGTCCTTCTTATATTGAGGGCTCGACCTGCAACTGCAGAAAACTGGCTTTTTTTTTTTTTTTTTTAGCAAAACAAGCTTCTGCAGCAGAGATTTGGGACACAAGGTGGAGATGACCGAGCAGTCGCTGCATTGCCCGTGGTGGGTGCCCATCAAGACATCACCATCCTGACTTTCCAGCTCCTGAACCCTGACAGCAGCTGCTTTTCCAGGGGACGTGGGCCACAACCATCCCGGGGGGAGCGGCTGCCCGAGCCCCCTCCTCACCCTGGTCCCCAGGGAGCCCAGGGATGCTCCGTCCCCGCAGGAGTCTTCCCCAGGGATGGTGGGGATGGTTGTCCCCAGCTGACTCCCAGCCCAGCACAAAACGGCTGGGTTAAACATCAAACCTCACTATAAATAATTAATTCCTTGAAACCTAAACAAAGAGACTCCAAAACGACAAACCCCTGACGCCGTTTCCTCACTGTGCTCTGAAAAAGGCATATTGAAAAACTGAGATGGGGGAAAGCCAGTAATGATAATAATAATAATAATAATAATAATGGTGCAATCCATAATCTCAATCTTAAATCCTCTTTCCCAGAGACAGTGGGAGGCCCATCCCCTCCAGAAAAAAAAAAAAAATGATGAAGATTAAGCATTTTTAAATCAGGTCATTGCAAGGAAAATTCACGCTCTGCTGAATCCTGTTATTCCGTAGGGGTGTGCAAGCCCAGGGTGGGGTAACGGGGGGCTCTGCCTGCAGTGGGGGCTGTTTGTGGCCACCCCATTCGTGTCGCTTGTTCTTCAGACCCCCCCTTATTGCTGTGCTCCCTCCCCACCACCACGGAGCACCGGCTCTGCCTGCGGGGGGGGCTGTTGGTGGCCACCCCATTTGTGTCGCTTGTTCTTCAGACCCCCCTTTATCACTGTGCTCCCTCCCCACCACCACGGAGCACCCCCACACCCGGGGGTGACACCGGGCATCTCTCCATCCCACAGGTTCCTCCTCATCTACTCACCAGTGCCCACCAAGGAAAATTCCCCACGGGCTCCCCAAAAGTCCTGGGGCTGGTGTCAGTCCTCCCCACTGAGGAAGGCACCCACCGGCCGTGCCCATCCTCTCCCTCACTCAGCCCCAGGTGCCCACAGACACACACTCACTCCCACAGACACACACTCACTCCCACAGACACACACTCGCGCCGCACGGCAGGGACCGGCGTCCATCGATGGTCAGTGTTTCCACCATACCCAAAACATTTATTTCTCCAAAAGAAAAAAAAAAGAAAAAAAAACACAAACAAAAAAACAAAGCAAACAAACCAAAAAAACTATTGCTAATGACCAAAAAAACCAAACCAAACAAACCAAAAAAACTATTGCTAATGACAATGGATACATTTTCGTTGCCCCAGTTACGGACCGAACATTTCCAACACATCCAACTCCTAATACTGTACAATACTGTACCAAAAGGGAAAAAAAAAAAAAAAAAAAAAGGATGTACCTCCATATTGTACAGAGTTATATATACAAAGTACAATTTTACACAGTTTAATATATACACCATATATATATTGGTGTAGAAGACATGAAACCATGGAAACCGTTTTAGCAAGAACATTCCATCCATCCCATCGTTAAACAACTGCTGTTAATTAACACCCCAAACCCCACCGGACCAGCCCGAGCCCCCTCCTGCAGGACGGAGGTTTCAGACCCACAGAGAAAACATCCATTTCCAGACTTTGTGACCAAACTTCCCTCCCTTACAGCAGCGCCCTGACATCGCTGCCACCCTTCCCAACGCGTCAAGAGATGGTTTACAAGAATTGCCCCATTTGGGCTACATCGAGCTGGTCTTTTGAAGGACCTGCCGCTCCCAAGTATTGCTCCAGCAGTTTGGCACTCACCAGCCCAACCCCATTGGATTTGGGAGATTGGAAGGAGGGGACTCTGCCCGGAGAGCAGGGCTGGGGGGGTCCTCTCCAGAAGTAAGGTTACGACAGTGCCTTTACAAGGAAGGGTCCCTCTATGATCTCCATTGCAAACTGCTAAATATTTACCCTGTATGAAGCTTGGTTTATCAAGTATTAGTAGAGAAGGGAGCTGCCCTCCCTTTCTGCCTTCACCTCTTTTTGGCCCATCGTTTCACAACTACCTTTGAGGAAGCACAAAATAGAACAGGAAAAAAAAAAAAAATAAACAAGCCCCAAAACACCTTACATTTTCCAGGCCTCGAATTGCTGGTTTTGGCATCTCCAGATCCACCAAAATAGACTCCAAAATAACCAAGCCTGGAAAATAATTCACCTGCCTCTGGTTGGCAGAGGGAGAGGGATTAAAACCATCCCTGCAGCCCCCAGACCGTCCCAGCCCCGTCGCAGCCCAGGGGGGGGCACAAGGCAGTGGGTCAAGTATAGTTTTGTTTTTTTCAAGTACCAGGTTGTTGGACACACACAGAGAGACAAGGAGAAAGCTGATCCCGAGAGAGGATTATCTCTGGAAGTGATATGTAAGCTCAAAGCCCAAAGTTCAGTCCGGAGCACCAGGAAACACTCGGTGTTTTCCCAGAGCCAGAGGCTGGGAGCATCCTCAGGGAAGGTCCACACAGGGCTCTAGTGCTACCAGTCTCCTAAAGAAACAACTTTAGACCTAAAACTGCTTTTGGGGGATGTTAGCCAAGGCCAGATAAGCCTACAAAAAGGCTCTTTATTGTTGTGAAAGTTAAAAATCTCAAAATAAATAAATCCCTGGCTTGTTAAACTCATTTTCGGTGCTGGGAGTGCCCAAATGCTTCTTTTCCTTTCGGTTTGCTGGGTTGCTGGGTTGGGTTTTTTCTTTTTTTTAAAGCAGTTTCCCTGGTTTGGGGTGAAGGTGTCAGTATTTGGAGCACATCCCTCACCCCAGGGCTCTGTCCCTGCCCCGTGACACCGGCTCTGCTGGGAGGGGGACGGGTAGAGGCTGCTCCACTGCTTCGCTCAGCGTCTCACCCACTCCATCAAATTGTCTCAATGGGTGTTTTTTCCATTTTTCCATCCTTTCCGTTGCCTCACCAGCCATCTCTGCCCCGCTGAGAGCATCTCTGTCCCTCCGAGGGCACTTCATCAGGCGACAGCACGTTCCAGTCCACGGGGCAACACCTGGAGGATCTGAACTGCCAACTAGAGACATTTATTTCTATTGAAGAACATCTCTCAGAAGCTCAGCAAACCCCCAAAGCCATACAAGGTTCAACCAAATTTGAGGTTTTGACACACAGAAGAGGAGAAATAAGGCAGCAAACTCCATCTGCAACGACCTCTTTTGTCTTAATATTGCTAGAGCTCTTCCAGGGGCCACGGCTCCCCCGGACCCAGCGCAAGGTGGGGAACTGCAACAGATGGAATTTCTTGCCCAACTCTGAAGTGTTTTGATTCAGTAAATAAATTTATGAGAACTCGGTTATCTTAACCTACTTTTGTGCAAGAACAATCTTGCCTTGTAAAAAAAAAAAAAAATTAAAAAAAATTAAAAACAAATTAAATCAACAAAAAGTCCCAAAACCCAACATATGAGGTATTCATCACAGGAAACCCAAAGACTCTTTTTGAACAGGTATCAAAATACATACATATACAACAATGATTTTTTTTTTTTTCTGCTGTCACAGTGCACTCTAATTATTTAATCCTTTTCATTGCAATAGAATATCCAGTACAGATAAAGTGAGAGAGTTTGCTCGTGTCCCACTGCTTCGACATGGAGAACAAATTTACACTTTATCAAGAGCGAGCCTTTGGATTACCTTAGAGAGGCAGAAATTTAGCGATTGTTAAAGCACACTGCTCAGTTCCCAACTCAGGGAAATAAAACATAAAAGGTTAGAGCTTCGGAAACTATTACGATTGATCACCTAAAATCGGATTTTATTTTAAAAGTTTTGCTTTGGATTTTTTCAATCCAACATCCGATGAACAAGGATCCTTTGTTCATACAAAGCACTATCAAACAGACAGACGTTATTCCAGTTATCAAACACCTCTTGTCTTTTAGATTTTTGACACAAACATTACATAAAAGTCATGAACGAGAGTTTCCATGGAAGAGCTAATATTTCTTCTGAGTATGAAGATATGAAGTAACACCGATACCTCCCCAAACCACCGCCGTCCTGCTCCGCTCTGCGTCCTCTCTCCCACCAGCCAGACACCCACTGGTTTTGCAGGGAGTCCAGTTCCTCCTTCCCACCTCCCCTGCAACGTGGTCCAAAAAACCCTCGTGGCAACCGTTCTCTCGGCCTCGTATGTTCACAGAGCGAAGCAGACAAGCTTCAAATTTCCTTTTTTTTTTGTTATTTTTGTTTTAATTCTCCCGTGAGTGTGTGCGTGTGAGCTCTCTGCTGGCTGGGCAGACCCGGAGCACGAGGAAGAGGAAGGACGACCCTTGAGCCTGCCGTATTGCTTGCTGGAAGTGTTAAGTGTCAATCACAGTGCACACCAGAATTCCAGTTGAGTTGCTCCATAGACAGGTCAGATCCCACTCGGATACTCCCTGGGCTGTCCCAGAGCTGGGGATGCTGGAGCTGAGCACAGTAACTCCCATACAGACACTTGCTGTTACAGTAAACCTGAAAGTCTTTTTTTTATTATTATTTTTTTAGCTCTTTTTTTAGCTCTCATTCCTACTTCAGTCCTCAAAGACAGAAAAGAGCATCTCCTCCAAATTTGCTGTGCGTGGCTGGACACTTATTCTTAGAAACGTGAATGCTAGGCATAAAAATATAAAGAAAATAAGGCATTACAAATGAGTCGAAGAAAAGTTACAGAGATCCTGCTCTTGACACAGATTAACTTTGGTCGTTCGTGACCGAAAAGAAAACAAACCCAAAAAACTCCCTACTTAAAGTAAATGCCAGAAAGTTCCGCCTGAGCAAAAAAATTGCAAGTTTAATTCTATTTTTTCCCAAAAGAACAAGTGATTCCTTGGTGGTAGGAGTCCATCAGAACCTGAGAGCAAAGGTGGCTGGTCGCACTGCTGGGGAGCAGGGGAAGGTGACAGTCACACACGTACCGCGGGGCTGCCCGGGGGAACTGCTGCCTCCCGTGGGCTGAGGAACCAGAAATAGGAGTGTTCTCACCAAAATCTTCCAGGCAGTCCCCAGTTTTCCTATGTTCTTCATTTAGGGCACAGAGAAAGTTGGTCTTTTCAAAAAGCATCATGAAAACGGATCCAGTCCATCCGCAGGGAGGGGGGTGTGCGTGGGGCTGCAGTAAATCCCTGCTCATTTCTCCGAGTAACATCCTCAACGAAGCACAAAAGTCCATCGAAGAAACCCTTCTCAGAAACACAAGCTCTACCTCTTCTTTTTCAATTGCTATGAGCCAATTAAAACGGACATTGCAGTCACAAGGAAGCTACGTGTGAGAGACCCACAAACTGAAAAGAAACTCAGCGAAACGGGAGAGGAAAATGACTTTCCTTATCTTGTCCTTGTCTGAATTTATTCGATGGAAAAAGTAAGATGTGCAGCTTGTTTTTACATCCCAGAAAAGTTCGGGGAGGAGGTGAACTGAGGGTCAGCCAGAGCCTCCTCTCCTGCAGGACCAGGAGATCTTCTTTATCATTGTAAGGGGCACATGCCTTCTCTTGTATTTTGTTTTTTTTAAATTAAATAAATGCGGAAAATTCTCAGTAGAGTACAAAAGAGTTCATGCAGCCCGCGAGCGGCTGAAGCATTCGCTGCCTACCAGATAAATACAAATACTAAGAATTTATTCCCATCTGTGGAGTGATTCGGAGGCTGCTCTGTCCATGGGGAGAAGCTGCTCCAGGAGCCACACAGGCCGTCAGGTCCCCGTCCCCAGCAGCCGATCCCGCAGCGCTCTATAAGAGCGGAGATCCCGAAAAGCCGCTCGCAGCCACCGACCGGAGCGTTGGCAACCAGAAAGAGGGAGAAGGTACAAAGCTTGAGAACTTCCCACTGGAGTTTTGTTGTGTTTTTTTTTTTTTTAAACAGTGCTTGTAAAGGGAGGGGGGGGTTTTGGTCAGGATCCATCTCGGCGCAGGATGAAAACGTGTGCGTTAGGAAATGGAGTCCCGTCAGAGCGCGCCGGAGTTTGCAGAAATCAGCTTGTTTTGTACATTCAGTCTCCCGAGACCACACACACCACATCACAGCCCACGGGCTGAAAATTACACTGAAAAACAACAAAGCTGTTTTTTAAATATGGGAGAGCAAAAAGGGGGAAAAAAACAGCTAGATTGTCCATAAGCAACAACTGGGCTCTTTCTTATGCTCCTAAACCTCAGGAACATGTTTGTTTATATTTGCACAGACACATATTACGTATAACTCCACAAAATCTAAGAGTGTTCCAGAGTAAACTATTTTTTCATGACAAGTGTCAACTAAAGGACGAGGCTGGATTTGGCCTCGGGGGGGGAAGGACGGGTTGGGGAGCAAACAAACAAAACCAGAGGATGTGATGGAAGTCGAGACAGACCCTTAACCACCGTGGCACCAGCGGGCGACTTAATAATAATTATAATCATAATGCACAAGAAACAGGCATGTCCAAGCTCCACGTAACCAGTGGCACCAAAACATGCAATAGACTAAAATCTATCCTATTGTTTCCCTGTGGTAAATGAAACACAGAATATAGAAGTCACTACACCAGTACTCGAAACGGGACGCCACCGAAGGTTTGTCTTTCTTTCGGTGGCCAAACACTTGAAACAAGGCATCGACTAGAAACCGAGACCCAGCTCCTGGCTCGTCCTGTGTTCTCCTCCTCCTCCTCCTCCTCGGCTTCACAGTGACCCAACGCTGGGTCTTCCACTGGCTGTTTTGCCTGGAGAACATCCCTGACGTGGGTTCAATGGGACGAGGTCGTTACCACTCAGTTTTTCCTGCCAGGAAAGGCTCCCGGCAGCGAGTAGCAGTTCACACCTAACCTTCAGCAGAAGTTCCCAAAAAAAAAAAAAAATGTAGTTAAATAGGGATTTTAATGTCTTTTAACAGAAGTCTCTTCATCTGCAACAACAGAGTTCTAACCACGGAGCAGCAGGGAGTTTATCAGACAGTACAGGACTTGTCAGGAGGCTGCTGAGACGCAGAGGAGGCAACGCCGGGGCTCGTGGCGTTCGTTTTGGGGAAAACTGTGGGTTTGGGCCGAGTGGCAGGAGGTTTGACCTGGGTGGCCATTTTGATGGATTTGACCGGGCGGAAGGTGCAGGGGATGTCGCCGGCCGTGCTGGCGCTGCGCTGGAAAGCGGGCTCAGAGTCCTTGAGGATCTGAGTGTGCAGAGGGCTGGAAGGTTCCGAGGTTGGGGCCACCACTGGAGATGTCTTCAAAGGCTCCAGGGTGTCGAGGACAACATCTGGCGTGTGCTTGACGCTGCTCTGCCTCTCCAGCTCCCGCAGCTCGTTCAGAGCAGAGTTCATAGTCGCTTCGATATCCTGCAGACACAAAAGAGAAAGGCAGTGAGTAACAGAACCCAGAACACATAAATACAGAGATAAAAGTCAGCCTTTGAGAACGAAGGATTTGTTTTCAGCCTGTAAACACCAACGCTCGGATCGACCCGGTGGGTCAAGGACCTTTAGGTGTTGGAGGGAAACCCACGCCAAGCTACACAGCACCATCACACACCAACCAGCAGTAATATTTTCCATCAACGGGCAGCAAAACAATCGCCAGCACTTTCTCCACGCTCATCTGGTCCTTTACTGGTCCTGATGCTGCTCGGACTTCAAAGACGAGCACAATCCCAAAAACGCAGCAACGAACAGAAAAAACGTGTGATTTGAATTATCAGGATCCATTCTTGTGCTTTATTTGGCACCTGAGATTGAGGAGAGTAAAATCCCTGAAGAAAACACTGATGATTTTGACACTGAACGCTGAAATCCTTGCGTTCTTGCTGCCCCACTGGTTTTCCTGTTGCACCCCCAGCCCTCCCTTCCCAGGAAGGCTCAAAATTGTGATGTTTTAGAAAAACACAGAAGACATCAGAAGCATACAGTGAAATTCAAGTTGGCACCTCTCCTTCCTCTTATAAGATATTGCAGTTATTAGCAAATAAAGAGAACTTTAGGATAAAAAACGTGGAGCCCAGGGGGGCAGGGAACTCGCCGGGGAGCAGCAGAGCTCAGCAGGGCTGTGACTCACGGCTTGGCCACAGCTTCTGAACTTCCTCAGAGGTTTTTTGGGGAGGGGGGTCGGTGGAGGAATGGTGGAGGAAACCAGAGACAGAAACCTGACACTTCCCGGGCTATCATCTCCAGGCCAGGCAGATTTTGCTTGTGAAGTTAAGGAAAATATGTAAAATGCATCATGATGATTATTAGATGGTGTTTGAAGAGATACTACAGGGCAAAAAAAAATAGTAATTTAACACAGCTTCTCCCCACCCCCCCCCGGTGCTTCACATACGTGTACACATATATATGGAATTATAGAGATCAAATTCTTCTCTTTTTTTTTTTTTTTTTTTTTTCCCCTTTTCCCCCCTCCTTTTTTCTTTTTCTCCTGACTCTTCTCCAGTGAAAACAATGGAGTTAACAACATTCTGGCAGGAAGAGGAGACAGAACAACTTCAGTTAGAGCTTAATTGAAAAAGCAAAGAAACTGATTTACGACAACCAAAGCCTCAGAAGGACAATGAAATATGAAGACAACAAGAACTGTGTATTATAATTCCACTGGAATAAATGGGCTAAAGATATTCATAACGGCAAAACACAACTTTCCATGAGACTTGTGTATCAGATTTTTATTTGGACCTTATTTATTACTTGGTCTTGCTGTTTTTATTTTCACATATTGTCCCGCAGCTCTTCAGAAAGCTACAAGCTCCTGGAGTGGGTTCCCCCAACCCCAAATGTTCCTGGGCTCTAGACAGACCCATGGCATCAACAGCGGTTGGCGCCTGCAGATCCAACAGCTCGGAGTGGAGAAAGGGAAGGTCCTTCATGGAAAGGGGAAATCTGTGACATTTACATCATTTTCCCCCCCGAGTGGCTGTCGTTTCTTCAAATCTAAGTCTGATTTTCTTGTTTTCCATTCTGCTTGTGGAAGCAGAGAGGTGAAGGCACCACGTGGGGTGGTGTTAACGGCAGCGGCTGCTGTGGCAGCTGAGGGTCCCCAACACCCGGAGGGGACAGATCCCTGCCCGTGGTGACACAGAGAATGTGCACAAAGGATCTGTAATAAACCCATCTGGGGCAAAATAAATCCTAAGAACACCTCTCCCTTCAATCTGCAGAGGAGGAATTTGGGGGGCTGGTGTCCTCACTGCCCTGGGGGTGCGTGGAGCCGGTCCCAAAGCAGAGCCACGTCCTCACCCCGAGCCTGTCCCCACTCCTGGCACTTCTCTAAATAAATAACTAATGAAAACTTGCAGTATTATGTTCCAAGATGGTGTCTAATCACACGCTGCACCCTGTGAGCATATAAAGATGCTGCTGTGAGCACTGCACGACCCAGCAGCCTGCTTTTATTTTGACTGTACAACTGCATGTGCTTCCAACGTCTGACCACAGGCAAGTCTGCAAAACTGACAGGAGAATGCTAAATGAACACTAAATACTTCACTTTTTTCACGTCTCGAAGTCATGATTGTTTAATTTTTTGCTGACAGCTTTGGAATCTGTATAACTTTCTGAAATGGATGCTTTTATTGTTGAAACTGAATTCTGAACAACGACGGGGGCCAAGTTTTTTAGGGAGGAAAGACCTGGCTGTTTATCTTCGCTCAGTGACTGACACAAAGCGGGGCTGAGACTGGACCCGGGTGGTGGAGTAAGTTAATATTGCAACGAGAGAAGGGATACGAGATTAAATCAGACTTTGCACTAAAACAACTCATTGTATCCAACCTCCCTTAAGCATCCAAACCAAATCTTGAAGGCAAACGCTCCAAATTTACCTGTGCAATAACTTCAGGGTCCATGGGCCGGTGGTTGTTGAAGCTCTTGGACCTTCCTGCTGTCACAGTTTTCCGGATCTGCGGGCTGTCTATCCTGTTCTTCAGGGAGGAGTGTCGGCTGATAGAATTGAGGCTGCCGTGGCCACTGATGGAGCATTTATCTGGAACCTCCTTAGGAAGACTTTGGCTCATAATGGGCTGAGATGAGGGTCTGGAACCGGCTATGGCTCCTGGGGAGGCTGGTTCTGCCATTGAACTACCTAGTCCATGGCTGTCACTTTGACGGAAGGCTCTTCTGATGCTGCCTGACTCTGGTTTCTTTCTTTGCCTTCAGTCACAAAAGCAAAACAAGTCAATACAAGCAGGTACACACATAACGGGCTGCAATTTGAAGATATCCCCCCAAAAACAACACAGAGGACAATGGGAAGAGACACAGAGGTAACCCAGATCACAAACACACCCAGGATTTTAGGCATCATCGTGAAACAGTAGAAATATAAATCATTCCAGTTGAACACTTCTAACAACAAGACTGAGTTCCTGGCAGCTGTGCACATTCACAGCCAAAACAGAAAACTTGGATGGAATGTAATTAACTTGGTCAAGAAGAAAAGAATTTATATTTGAACAAAAAAAAAAACCCTCTGTGCCATCAACAGGTTTTGATGATGTGTTTTTATTACATTAGAAGAGCAGAGCTACAATTTTTGACTGGAGGACACAGTATAAGTCTACTAAGCTCCTGGCCCAAGGCATCAAGTTGTTATTTTCAGAGATTGGCAAGCAAAGAACCCCACACTTCGGGGTTAACGATCATTTCCAATATTTGCTGGTGGTAATAGATGTTTCTTTTTCATTGCTTTAGCAGGACCATGAGGCGTTATCTGTGTAGGGCTACAGATAAACCAAAAAGATGATGTCAAATGGATGAGCTGGTCCAAACTATTTAGTTTCTACCCCAGCACCATGCGGTCTGACAGCACGATTCCATTCAAATCATATGAATGCAGCAGAATACTTTATGCCATAGGTCTGAAGCTTGGCATCCATTATACAGGGAAGGATCCGTTTAGATATAGCACCAGCCCCATGAATAACTGCAAGAAAGTGTTAACTCCAGTAGGATTTTGGCATCCAAATAATAATTCAGTGGGTGGCACAACTGTCATTGCGAAACCATCTGATTTAATTTTGCTCAAGTCTGTTCACACATAGGTCAGAAGATTCATTCCTAAAGAAAAAACAACAAAATGAGTCTTATGCTACTATTGCTAAATATCAGTTTCCCTACTAAAGGGAAAAAAAAAGCTGGAGTGGACATTACCCAGGCTTCTCACAAACACTACACACAACACTACCAAAACCAGCAGATGGAGAAGCTCCAACACAGGTCTGTTCATTATACAAATCTCTCCAGAACTGGCAGAATGGCAAACTTGAGTGGCTCAGGCAATAAAATAGCATAAAAGCAAGCCCAGATCCCAAGCTGCTGCAGGTAACACAGCTCACTGACACCCGTGGAGCTCTGCTGGCACCACAAACTAAGGACCAGGCTCTGTGTAGGACACCAGCAGGTCCAAATCTTTAACAAGGATATATTTCTGTTAATGCCTTTCTAGGCTACATTCTGCTAAATTAACTGAAGGTTAAAAATATCCACTCCCATAAAACTGTAATCATCACATTAATATCTTCACTGCACAATAGAGACCTAGGGCTGTTATAATATGAAGGAAATAATCAGAAAGATATGGGCAATAAGTCTGCTCTAGAATAATTAAACAACAGAACAAGGAATTTAGTCTGTTACTAGCTTCATTTCCCAGGTTTTTTTATTATGTGGAGTGTTGGCTAAAGCAACCATTTCTGGTTGAGGAGGTAAAGTTAGAGCAACAGGGAGGTGTGTTGTTTCACTGCAAGCATATGGTTAGTAACCTAAGGTGAGAAGTGCTGGAGAAATGAAAGAACGTTACGGGCGATGCCAGATGGTGGGACTTCAGATAGGTCATTTAGCACAAAATGTGACACTAGGTTCTGAAGGAATTGTCCCCCCACCCCATAAAACAAAACACCTTAAATGGAAACGAGACATAACAAATCACAGAACGTAACAAGGAATGGGAACACACGATTACAGGAACTCACTCCGCTCTTCCCCTCCCTTTCTCTGTGTGCTTAGCTTATAAAATGGGATGTATTTGGGAAAATGGGAACAGATGGCACCTTGGGGATAGGGAAGAGAAGCCAGTGGGGTTTCAAATGAGCATTGGCCACGCTGGTGACAGAGAGAGGACAGCAAAATGTGAGCAAGTTAGAAGAGGGGGAAGCAGAGAATGATGGTGGCAGCGCTCATTAGTTAACCTTTCTGCAGGGAAATGTTATACTGGACTCATCACCAAGATCTTTACAGTTAAATACAATAATGCAAGGCTGTTCTTACTTGTTGATGTTCGCAAGGTAAATATCTGCGACGTGACCCCCACTTGGGCAACTGGCACCAGCTCTGGCAGTCACTTTTTCTTCCGGTGGCTCAGAATTTATTTCTATTTCAGACTTCGGACTGGATCTTTCAGAGATACCATCCTCACTAGGAAGGAGGAGGGAAGGAAATCACAACCAAACCAGGACCAGCAGCACCGAATTTCCAATACAGCACTGTGTGTGTAAACATATGTACAGGACAACAGCACTGTGCAGCTTTCTCTTAAAAATCATTATGCATCTTTCAAATAAGAGAGCCTGATTTCTGCGAGCAACCTGGAGATCCCAGCTCTGCACATTTAACGGGCTGGAGCACCAGAAGAGTTTTTATATCACACCTCCACACCCATGGACACCTAAGCCTCTGAGGAGCTCTGCTTGTCTCAAGAGGAATCCCTCCTCAGCAAGGGAAGGTCCAAGGATGAACTCTTCCCTCCTGGTGTCAACGTCTTGACACAAACGCTCCATTCCACACCTGAGTTTTAAGCGAGCTCATCTGGCAGATGATGGGCTTAAAAGTGTAACATACGTGTCTTGAACGACGATATACTGATGAGGAATAAGGCCGTCAATTCCATTGTGGCGTCCCTCCCACCAGTCATCTGAGGCCCGCTGATAGAGTAAGAGAGAAGCTCCTTTTTTAAAGGAGAGCTCTCGTGCAGTCCTGCCAATGTAGTCGAACTTCGCTATCGCTTCTATGGGCTCACACTCTAGGAGATAGAAGGGAATAAACAATAATTCACTAAACACTTGGGCTCAGGTAAGTATTCAAACAGTTTAAACCTACCATAAAACAGCTTATGACTTATGAGCATGGAAGAGGATAAAGTGTGGCTTCTTAAGGCAGCAGAGGGTTGAAGCGGTAAAATTCAGAGGGGAACCCCTTCAATAGGGGGATGTTGCAATTTCAGCATTTACCTAATCTCTACGTGGTGGACACCTTCACGTCTTCCAAGTCATAAACCCACTTATAGCAATTCAAGTGTACACAGATGGACGTGGCAATGGTAAAATTAGTATCTCATTAGAATAAAAAAATAATTTCACAGCTGAGTAGCAATCAGACAAAAATCTGCCTATGGTGTGCCTTCCTCAAGGCAGCTAAACCAAACCTCCCGGGCAGGCAGGAGCTGTTATTAGCATTGAGGGAAGGAAACATCCTGAGTCCAAGCTGCTTCAGAAATAAAGCATCTATTCAGAAGGAGATTTCTGCTGCCTGTGAGGTTCACCTGACCCAGGAGAGCGGACTCTGGCACGGTGGGAGGCCGTGCTATTCATGGGACTGTCACAGAAGCTAAGGAAAACATTCCTTGCTCCCACTGCCGGGGTTTGGGCAATGATGGGGAGAGAGCCAGCAGCTCCCTCGGGATCCACAGAGCCAAGAACAGGGCTCAGAGCTGCACGACGTGCTCCAAATCTCACTGCTCTGACTAACGGGCTGGAGCACCAGAAGAGTTTTTATATCACACCTCCACACCCATGGACACCTAAGCCTCTGAGGAGCTCTGCTTGTCTCAAGAGGAATCCCTCCTCAGCAAGGGAAGGTCCAAGGATGAACTCTTCCCTCCTGGTGTCAACGTCTTGACACAAACGCTCCATTCCACACCTGAGTTTTAAGCGAGCTCATCTGGCAGATGATGGGCTTAAAAGTGTAACATACGTGTCTTGAACGACGATATACTGATGAGGAATAAGGCCGTCAATTCCATTGTGGCGTCCCTCCCACCAGTCATCTGAGGCCCGCTGATAGAGTAAGAGAGAAGCTCCTTTTTTAAAGGAGAGCTCTCGTGCAGTCCTGCCAATGTAGTCGAACTTCGCTATCGCTTCTATGGGCTCACACTCTAGGAGATAGAAGGGAATAAACAATAATTCACTAAACACTTGGGCTCAGGTAAGTATTCAAACAGTTTAAACCTACCATAAAACAGCTTATGACTTATGAGCATGGAAGAGGATAAAGTGTGGCTTCTTAAGGCAGCAGAGGGTTGAAGCGGTAAAATTCAGAGGGGAACCCCTTCAATAGGGGGATGTTGCAATTTCAGCATTTACCTAATCTCTACGTGGTGGACACCTTCACGTCTTCCAAGTCATAAACCCACTTATAGCAATTCAAGTGTACACAGATGGACGTGGCAATGGTAAAATTAGTATCTCATTAGAATAAAAAAATAATTTCACAGCTGAGTAGCAATCAGACAAAAATCTGCCTATGGTGTGCCTTCCTCAAGGCAGCTAAACCAAACCTCCCGGGCAGGCAGGAGCTGTTATTAGCATTGAGGGAAGGAAACATCCTGAGTCCAAGCTGCTTCAGAAATAAAGCATCTATTCAGAAGGAGATTTCTGCTGCCTGTGAGGTTCACCTGACCCAGGAGAGCGGACTCTGGCACGGTGGGAGGCCGTGCTATTCATGGGACTGTCACAGAAGCTAAGGAAAACATTCCTTGCTCCCACTGCCGGGGTTTGGGCAATGATGGGGAGAGAGCCAGCAGCTCCCTCGGGATCCACAGAGCCAAGAACAGGGCTCAGAGCTGCACGACGTGCTCCAAATCTCACTGCTCTGACTCAAAAACACTCACACAAGAGCTCCAGCCGTGCTGTGCCTGCAACCTGCTGCTAATCCTGGTCCCTGGAGGACTCTGATATTATACAGAGGGACAATATGGGCATTTAGACACTCGGGAAAAATCAATATGAAATTCATGTGGATTATTTTTTAAGACTCGGAAAAAAAAAAATATCTGCCATTGGTCGAGTCTAAAAATATATTAAGCCAGCTCCCAATTCTAGACAGACACCAGGGGAATGGAGATGAGCTCAGCCGCACGGCCCCAGTGGACTTCAGCCTCTAATTACTTTAAAGGAGCTTTAACACAGCCAAGCAGTCCACAGAAAATGAGGTTTTTTTCCTGGGGAAAAAAAGATTTGCAGTTCCTCTTCCAAGACGAGAAAAGATAAATCATTTCACTCTGAGGTCTCCTCTGCAGCACAGGAAGCTTCTACACTGCAACAGCCAGCCAAAAAGGACTGGGAGGCCAAACATGAGCCACAGGTTCTTATAATTATTCCTTGTGAGAGCATACACTCAAGGATTAGGTCTCCAAGGCAGGCAAGGGAGTAGCTGGGCTTGAGAAAATCCATAGTGTAGGTCCATCTGAGTGAGCTGATGCCGTGGTACCAACCATCAGCTGGTCTGAGAGCAGAAGCATCCCCCAAAGATCAGCAATTGGCAACAGGACCTGCTGGATCGACTCCCCAACAATTAATTTCCCCATTACTAAACCAGACAGCTCAGAATTCTGTCAAATCACATGTTTTCAGGTAAGCCCGTGGTCAGCCTCACACCAGTCCTGTTATCAGCCCACGGCGAGCAGTGGGATGTTTGCAGGGACACGTGTTTGCAGCCTGGGATGGCTGCTGTGCTCCAGACTCCCCACAGCACACTGTTATCTGGGTCTGGCTCCTCCTTTCCCCTTCCTTGTTCTGCCTCTGGGGCCAGCTTCTCCATAACACTAAAAACCCGATAATGCTGGTTTTCGGTGTCCCCCCTTCATTTACGAAGGGGATGAGAGTGTGGTTTTGTAAATTCCATCTGTTTCATTAAGAAGTGTTTATTGTTCCAGATGAGTGCGGCACTCAGGTTTCTTATGTTTCCAATTTGCTTTTTAGGACTCTGGCTTTTGTCCAAAGCAGTGATTTTAGACTCTAATTTCCAGTAGCTTTTTTCCTACTACGCTTCTGCTCAGAGAAGAAAGCCGCGCGAATAGAGAGAGCAATAAGGCTAAGCCAAACAATCCCCCCTGCCAGTCGGACAGCCTCTGCAGGAAAGCAGCAGTTTAAAAATCTTTCCACTCATACACGGAATTTAATGAACACAGGAACTGCTTGTCTTCCAGCATCTCTGACCTCTTATGCCTGTCTCAAAGTGGCTGCTCACTCGTACAGCGAGGCTGGGGGTGAAGAGCTGGGATGCTCTGCAAAACCCCACCTTTCCTCCCCCCAAAACTGAGTCTTTCCTTCAATGAAGACGAGGGGATGACAACTTAGTAGTGCCAGCCTCACCAAAGAGCTAACGGAGCAAGTGCTTGGTCACATCTAGAGACTGAAGGAGTTAGAAAAACCTAAGAACATCCATCCCACTGAGTTGCGGAGTCGTGCGCTGCTCGTCTGAGGAGTACCCGAGGTGTGACACTGCTCAACTAGAAGGGTGTGAGACTCCACAGTGAACCAGGCCTTGCTCCTCCTTCAAAGAGATAGAGGCCCAGCTCCCTCCTCTGCTTTGGTGCCAAACGCTCCCTCCCAAAGGCTTCCTATGGAATATTCCGTGTAGGTTGCAGAACTTCATCCAAAACGCCTCCAAATTTTACCTTGCTCAGGGGCCCCACGCAATCTCGTTCCAGAGGCTGTAAAACAGTGTCCTTCTCTCATCTCTAACTGCTCCTTTTCCCATCATTGTGCCCTCACAGCTACAATCAGCAATCTAAAAACCCCATACAGAAGCAATGCAAGTACACCCCATAGAGTTTCAGCGTGTAGACTTCAGTCCCAGGCCTTACAGATGTGGGATGAGTTAGTCTTTCCTTCATTACAGCAATGAAATTGCTCCTTCTTTGGGTATAAACTCAAAAATAACATATTTTCAGGCATTTTCAAGAAGATAACACTTTTCAGGATGAACACTGTTCAGGCAAACTCATGGCTCGTTGCCGTATGAGTTGTGTTTCCTCCCAACAACCTTGGTGAGGAGTCGTGTGGCCTTGCTGAGGGAGAGCTCATTTTCCAGCGTTTCGAGCAGCGCTCAACGTTGTTTGCTTTGTTACTGGCGTATGGACAACCCAAAGGCAGCAGGAGCACAGCAATGCCATGGGAGAGGTTTGTTAGGGAACTGGCTGGGGCAGAGAGAGCAAAAAGCAGCACAGGAGCACACGGCAGGGCCACCCAGGGAAACGCTAAAGACCAGCTCAAAAAAGATGTCGTCTCATTTTAAGGGACTGCCACCTTCTTCCCACCTTTACAACTGAGGCCACTACAACTTAGACAACTGCAAGGGACAAAAACCCAAGAATAAAACCGTATTCTGCTCTGTTTTGGTCAATCTGCTTTACATGCTGGGCAGTATTCTGGGGATCATGGTTTCACATCAGTAAAGTTATCTTCTCCTCTGCTGTGGGGGGCTCACACAAAGCTCTTCCCCATTGCAGAAAGAGCCTTTGGAAGTATCAACAACAGAAACTCAAGGACTGTGGTGTCCCCTCTTCCTTAGGAACTACCGTGACATTCTCAGTGTTGGCACCTCTTTTCAGTGATCAGACAAGAAATGTAACAGTTTCCCCAAGGAGACCCAAAAATTATCAACGAGAGAGGCCACCAGGATGCTCTACCCTAAAACCTGGCTCCCAGTGGAAAGCAAACAGGTTTTGACTTAATTTTGCTTGTTTCCTTAAAGCAGAAGCACTGAGGCTTGAGGCACTCACAATTCCCTTGCCAAAGGCACGGGAAGGGGAGATCCCTGGCAGAGGCAGAGGGGGTGCACGCTGAGGTGTATCCAGCCTTCGGCTCTGTGCTTCCCCCACGATGTCCAACTCTAAGATCCTTCTGGGGTACAGATGAGCTCAAACACTCACGCAAGCGTGCAGTGTGCCCAGGCCTGCTGCTAAGATAACACACCCTTGAAAAAGGGATTTAAAAATAGTCAGATAACTTCTAAAGATTCCCGTTGATCCCATACGTCTTTACTTTTTGGCATCAAATGCTGTATGTGATGTTTCAAGTGATTACTCTGATTTAAACTCCGCTCTGGACCTAACTTGGAACTTAAATCACAAGGCACTGTGCTCTCTGCCTTCCCCACAGCAGGTCGTACCAGTTAAACCAAGGAGTGACCAGACTTTGCCTACCATCATCACTGGTGTGGTGCTCAGCCGCGGCGTCCTGAACCGAGTCTTCCGTTGAGGCTCTCTCTCCGTGAGGACTTTCACTACAACAGAAGGAAACAGAGAAGGTGCTTTTACACTGCTAGAAATTGAGTTTTCTCATTTAGAAAAAATCAAAGATAACTTAAGTAGGAACATCCGTATCGGAAGTCAATACGCAGGTTCTACTGTGACAGACACTTTGCAGATGCATTGGCACATACTGAAGTCAGTGTGACTAAAAATCAAGCTAAGTTCTTATTTGATCAAGCAAACTCAACATCTTCGTTAGCCTTCTTGTACACTATCAGGAAAGTCCAACTTCAGATCTTACAACCCAGACCTCTGGAGATGTTCACAAGTCAGATAACAGCAGGATGTTGGGCCGAGCTCCCCTCTGCCATGCCAGAATTATTCCCTCAGCTGCATTCTCCATTGCTCTAATTAGCTCATTAGATGGCTGACGAGATAGCTGCCACTTCCTGGGGGAAATTATTTCTCAATTCATAATGATGTTTCCAGGTCTGAGTTTGTCATCTCCCTCCTTCCCTTTTATCACAATCTTAAATTGTCCCATTCATTTCACCGAACGACTCCCACGGCCAGATCAATCGCCTGGAATCTTTATTTACTGATCACCTGGGCCACCACGAGCACTCTGTTATATTTTGTGTGAAGAAAAGCTTTGAAAGGATCAATAGCCAACAAGTGGCAACCAAAGGTTATGTTTTCCTACGAAGCTACATGAGCGGGTCCCTCAGGCCAGGAGCAGAAAGGAAACTGGCCGAGGACCCGTTGCCTCTCCCAGACAGCTCTGCAGACCTGCTGCCTGCCCCTGTCCAAGGGGAAAAAAACACTGCTCCTCATCTTACCAGATGCTGTTCCTAAAGACAAAAGGCATTTGCTGCACTTTTATGCTGTAACTCATCATCCTGATTTGAGGAACAGGACAAATCGCCTCCCTGAAAGTGATTTTTAATTCTTTTCCCACAGTAATAACTTCATCCCTCATTTTGGCCTTGCAATGGTTAAAGTGATCATGGCCACACTCTCCCTTTGGCAATCTACCTCCTGTGCTCTCTTAAAGGAGAGAAAAAAGAAAAAGGAGAAGGGGGTTAAAATGTCTGGGTAATTCTGGCGTCTCATTAAGCTTAATCCACAGGACACGAAGCTTCCCCACCACCTTCTCAGTCAGTACCTCAGGAATCAACCTTTCCCATCCTTTGCAAAGCCTTTATGCTACTTAATAAAGTTTACAGAAGAACCTGAAGCCAAAGGGAGGTCCCCAGAGGAACACAGCACTGAGGGCTAAGGTTTCGCGCAGACTGTGAAGTCATGTCGCCTACAGCCAAGGCTGAAGATCCAAACACTGCAGAGAGACCCCGTGCTTCCTCCTGCCCGTGCCTCCAACAGCACTTTCCACCAAAGGCCCTGTCCCTGCTGCAGAGCCTGTCTCTGTCACGCGATGCCACAGCCCAGGATGCCACAGTCAGGCTGCTGTGAAGAGCAGGCGTTACACACGGCCAGAGGAACGCAGTGCAAGAGGAGCATCTAGAAGCTTTCTTCTTCCCTGCCCTTCCCATGTCTCACTGGCTGAGACACAGGACTCTGGTTGTCCCCATGCAGGCTCAGATGGACAGACAGATGCAGCACAGTCCGTAGAATCATAGAATGGTTTGGATTGGAAGGGAACTTAAAGACCCCCTGGGTCCTGGTCTCCCACCAGCCCAGGTTGCTCCAAGCCCCCTCCAACCAGGCCTTGAACCCCTCCAGGGATGGGGCAGCCACAGCTTCTCTGGGCAACCTGGGCCAGGCTCTCCCCACCCTCACACCAAAGAGTTTCTTTCTGAGATCTCACTCTCCCCTCTTTCAGTTTAATGCCCACAGCACGGCCCCGAACATGTCATCAGCTCTGAACCCTGTCCCGGGCTCCTCAGCAGCCACCAACTGGGAGGGAGTGTGGGCTGGGAGCCGTGGGGCACACACAAGCCGTGGCACCCAGCCCTGGCAACCTCCACAAGAGCCCTGAGAGCCCCATCTGCCAGTTCCCTGGCACGAAGGGGCACCTGGAGATCACAGACGTTGTGGGCTCCATTCCCCAGCAGAACATCGAGGGTTCACTGCGCCGCCCGCTCCGGCAGGGAGCCCTGTGGGCAATAACTAACAACTACCTAAATACCAGGGCTATGAGAAGGCTTGAATGGGAACCAGATGCTTCTCCTGACGTTCAGCAGCCTGCCCTGCCTGCTTCTGCCCTCCTCTGCTTGACAGGGTCTCAGGTCAGGGTGGTGAGGAAGGGCAATGAAGAAAAAACAAATGCCTTCAGAAAATTGATATCGCCTTCCAGGACGTTTTGCCTCCTCCACGCTCACGTGAGGCATCGCCCAAACCAGAGCGTGCTCAACACTTCACAGTTTTATTCCCTTCACCTTAAGGGACAAAACCTCTCCCCTAAGTTAATGGGTTTCTCGAAGGTCATAAAGATTCTTTCATTTTTTTTCCGGACGTTTTGCCTCCTCCACGCTCACGTGAAGCATCGCCCAAACCAGAGCGTGCTCAACACTTCACAGTTTTATTCCCTTCACCTTAAGGGACAAAACCTCTCCCCTAAGTTAATGGGTTTCTCGAAGGTCATAAAGATTCTTTCATTTTTTTTCTTTCACATACAACATCAGCTAAAAACATCAGAGGGAAGGGTAAAACCAAGAGAATTTCCAAGAGAGGCTCTGGCAAGTCTCCTGCAGCAGCAGTCGGTGGAGAGGAGCCTCTCCTCGCCGCACGGACACGGAGAGTTAAAGCTCCTCTGAAACAAGTCAGGCAAACAAGGCCAGCTCTGTCACCAGAGCGACTTCACTTCTAAAACGTATTTATTTTAGTGTATGAAAACAATCATTTGCATTCCTGGGACACTGGAGGAGGGAAGGAAGGGGGAGAGAGAAGCAGGACACAATTTAACATTCCTCATTTTCAGAGGGAGCCATCAGCTTGGCCAGTAGGAAAGAAAACACCTCCTTTCCTTCCCCCACTCCCCAACCTTCCACCCCAGATGACAGGAGCCGCTCTGGCTGAATTGTTTCCAGATGTGCCTTTCAGACTGAACACGCGGCCGGGCCTCTGGAGCTTTAGGCTGGATGGAAACGGTGATTTCGCATTCCTCCCTCCTCCCTCCCCCACCGCTACCCTGAAAATTAAACCATGCCACAGCTCTCTAGGTTCAGCTGCAAGTGACCCCTGTGTCTGAAGCAAAGGCACTCAAGACAAGGAGAAAAAAAAAGGCAAAAGCAGGAGAAAAAATACAAAAAGAAAAAAAAAAGATTGACGTTGGCAGCTACCACAGGAGAACGTCCACGAAAATCCCCACACAACCTTGCCCTCCAAGAGAAGTGAGCTACGTTTGACAACTGAATAGCTACTTTCTACCAGCCTATTTCTTTTGAGCTGATGACTCTCCAGAGACACCAGAGCCATCTTCTCCATCATAAAACAGATTTTTGAAAGGCTGGGCCAGATGCTCGAATCCAGAATTAGACAACGCAGAAGGCACGACTGTCGCACACTAATCCGTAACTAAACATCCACCCATTCATCTTCTTCTCAGCAGTACCCATCATACCAGTAATCCTCCGTGTTTCCACCTCTGCTATAGACGGGACCCTCCAGCTCTCTTGGTCCTGGGAAGATGTTCTCATGTTGGATGATGATAGTTTTGATCAATTCATTGACATGAGCTTGGCAGGAGACTTGATCATGACCTTCAGGCACAGACATCAGCGTTGGCCCAAAACAGATGGCTAAATTGTAGGGATCCATCATGTTCTCTTCACTGAACTGAGATAAACTGCAAAAGACAGGAGTGGGGAGGAGAGTTAAGAGCAGGAAACAACATTATTATCATCATCATCATAATCTGCTGGAGAACATGCAGCTGAGCTAGGAAGGTTTGCTTTGGGCTTTCTGCTGTTCAGATGTTCTGGGTCTGTGTAAGAACATAAGATACTGATGGCATTTACAGAGAAATGAAATAGAAACCCTAAAGGGAGCTTGCAAGCAAAACGACGTGAAAAGTCCTGATTTTGCAAGGGTAGGATTTTACTCTTTAATCTCCATCTTTAACTCTTCTGTATTACTGTTGTTCATAGTCCACTTGCAGCCCAACACTCGATATCAGAGTTATATCAGTGCTCTCTGCCTAACTGCCTGAGATCAAGTGTGCAGAGGGTCCTTTCTCCGAGGCCCTGAAGCTTCTCTAGTCCCTTTTTGGGGCCACTTCTTAAGGATCTCCCAGCAAATTGGAAACTTATCATTTCTATACGGTGCCATTTTTTAAAACACAATTTTAGTCTCACTAAATTTTGTCCCAAACCTACCACGTAAACCTTTCAGGTGCCCTCGGGGATACTCACTGATTGAGGAAAGCAAAGAGGTATCTCATGACAATCAGAGTGGTCTTCGGCAGGTTCAGAAGCACTTTCCGGATGTGGAGAGCCCTCTCTTGTAAATTATCCATTGCTGAAGGGAAGAAAGAGCCCCAGAGAGTCATCATCATCGTATCACCATACCCACACCTCGCGACCGGGGCCAAACCCAACCAATATATGATGGTTCCTGTGCAAACTATCCAAAAGGGTAGCGGGAGGAAGGAATCATAGAATGGTTTGGGTTGGAAAAGACCTTAAAGATCATCAAGTTCCAGCCCCCTGCCCTGGACAGGGACACCTCCCACCAAACCAGGTGGTTCCAAGCCCCATCCAGGAAGGGGCTGCCTGTTTCCTGGATCTTCTGGCGCTGCGTGGCACGGGAACACAAGGGCAGCAGGACCTGCTGGTGAAGCCTTTGACAAAGAAGGTCCTCAAACACGTGAAAACTTCACTGCAAGTTCCTTCCTAGCGTGGGAGCACTGGATGTCATCTGCTTCAATAGCTCTGGCACAATAGCTCATTCAAGTGAGCTTCCAAAGGTGGGTGTTTAAAAAAGAAACTGTATAACACTCAAAGGGAAATTAACATAGCTAAAGGGTGAGGCAAAAAGCTCTGTGTGCAGCAGCCTACTGAGAAATAAGTGGGCAGCATAAATCATCTCGGAAGGGGGAACTTATTTGGAAGCAGATTTTTCTTTTCATATCATGTGAATTCAACTCCGTAAATGCATTTATCAGGAGAAGAAAACCACGAGCCATTTTAGAAGCAGTTATCTTCTGCTTTACTTCAAAGGCTGCCACCGCAAAGGCCATTTCACTACTTGGACAATAGAATCATTCTTTGATTCTGAGGGACATGGCAATAGCCAGGCTATTTAAAATTAGTTTGCTCACGTACAAAAAACACAAACAACTCTCTGCCCACCAGAACCGCCTTGAGAAACCACCAAAAATGTTAACAACTGGACTGTGACTGTCCTCATGGTTGATATTCTTTAACTGGAGTCAACAGATGGGCCCTCGTGGTTAAGATAAAAGGTGGGTGAGCACCACCTCGGTAGCTAAAGGGATGAAGGAGATGCCCAGCAGGTGCCCCATCCAGGTGAGGGAAAGCAGGCAGGGCAACAAACCCTGCTGGAGATCCCCCTTTCCAAGAGGACACTTCTGACACCTTCTGAGTGAGAGGTCTTAAAGATTATTTCTCAGAAGTGGAGCTTTCTGGTTTATTCTGTTTTAAAAGAATCCTATTACGAAGCACTGCCTCATAAAAATGCACGACACAGCCCTTAAAATCTATTTAATTCTGTCGCCCTGCTCATTCATTAAAAAATTGCTATTAGAATAAGGATGGACTCTGGCTAATAGAGACTAGGGTACCGGTGCAACCCAAACCAGCCAAAGTAACCATAAAAGGGCTATTTTGGAGCCAAGATAAAAGGGGGAGGGAAAGAGAGAACAGTGGAAGATGAGATTGGAAAAATTAATCCTATTTCTTTTCAGATCCTCATATACTTACTGACACAGGCAATCAGATCATGAAAGATATCCTTGGGGAAGAGAGGATGCTCCAACCCTCGAAAATAGAGCTTCAGAACTCCTGCTATTGAATCCATGTCATGGTCATTCTGGTCCCCAGCCAACGGATCTTCCCCTTCGTGACAAGCAAAGAAAAACAGGCAAGAAAAAAAAAATCACCATAATGGAGAAAAGAATCAGCCTGGAAGGATGCACCTCAGCTGGAGAATAGGATTTATCAGCACAAAGTTAATCCCACCCACTGCACTCTAACAGTGTGAGGTGGAGAGAGCTCTCTCCTGCACCGCGGGCGAGAAGGGATGTCTCTAACAGCAGCCCCAGGAGATCTGGGCCAGTATTTTGCCCAGCAGCTCCCAGTCTGACACTGGAGCGCCTGGCTCACACCCCGGGAGGGTGGTGTGGATCCTGGAGTGGTGGTGACACTTCCAGGCTCCCAGCTCCACATATTTTGGTGGGGTGTGAACTCTGCAGCCCCATCATGGAGGTGAACACCACATGAGTCCAGGAAAGGGTCTTTATGCAAACCCCCAGCTGATGCTGAGGAGGATTCAGTGCCCACCAAGAGACCATTGAGCCTCGTGCTCCCGGCTCAGCGGGATGCAGGCATCTTACGCTGAACTGGTGGGGGGTGAGTGGGGGGAGAGTATAATAATTTGTCACTGCAGATATGCCACAGTTTGTCTGTATTACAAAAGAAAAGATGCCCACTTAAGGGGTTGCTCCCCAGGGAAAACTCCCTATCAGATATAATTAGATTTAATGATGGGGCAATCCTCAAATTGAAGCTATATATATCCATTATGTGACTGAAATTACCAAAGCTTGCCTATTATCTTAATAACACACAGGATAATAAATGGGCCGCTACAAACCGGAGTATTATCCTTGATATTAACTGCCACCAAGGGCTCTGGATGAAGTAATAAACTGCAGAGACATTATTGTTAACTTTGTCAGTTCTGTATATCATATGCTTTACAGAGACAAGTGAGATGAAGGGAAAACCACAACCCCTTTTTTATTTCTGCGTGGTAGTGCTGGAACCACTGGCTGCTTTCCTGAGGTGCCTGGTATTTATTTCCTTTATTTAAAAAAGAGGTCTTTCATTCTGATATCAAGCCCTAACCTACAGCCTACGGCACACGTTTCTGTTTCCTTTATTCTCAAGGATTTTAATTCTCAGGTAGATGGAGATGAAGACAAGTGGAATTAGATGCCACGTTTCATACATGCTGTCCATTAAATTCCTCTCTTCCCAAGAGCAAAATAAACTTGCTGTGCCGAAGCGATTCCTGCTCATCTCTTCCAACAGCAAGTGTAAAAACACACTGACCACGTTCTTTTAGAGTGATGTACTCAGGGAATTAACACCAGCCCTGTTTTTCAGGGACCCAAGCAAGAGTGGGGCTGCAGGGACTGCCCGAGGAGTCCCTGGGACCTGCTCTGCCAGGGAGACCAGCCCAGCCAGAAGCCGAGGAGTCAGGAGGTTCCCAGCTGTTCTTTGCCTTTGTATGGATTTTTTTTTTCCCCATAGAAAATCAAATCCATTAAAAGCTACAACAAGTTAGCAGTGTCTTGAAATTTACTCTCTCACTTGCTGATATTTAGAATAAAATATAGCCAAGCTATGCCTCAAGAACATGGAAAACATAGAATTTCATCCACTAACAGCCAATCTATTCACAAAGAGCTGGGGGAAGAGGGTAGGAAAATGCAGTTACACTTGGTAATGAAATTCTCTATATGCTTTAGTGTTAGAAATGATCAATAAACTATCAAGACATGAGAGAAGATTGAATTCAGAATATTTATTGTACAGACACTGTACAAGAAATAAAGCATAATGCCAAACAACTGCCTATTCAAGGTCAATGAGGACTAGAAAAGTGTTTGGGCAGGACTCGCTTAGGAAACACAAAAACCAAAAGGGACAAAATATACCATGTCATTCCAGAATATTGAAACAAATTAATACATTTGGCAACAATTTCTGAGATCCTCCTTACCTCTCTCAAAGGCGTTTTTTATGTCATTTACTTCAACCTGTGACCCAGACACTCGGAATATCCCTTCATGCTGCAAACCTGGAAGACAATAAGAGATGTTGATAACAGTAAGATAAGATAAGATAAGCTGGCACTTTCACCAGCTTTCCTATGATAAAGGAAACATAAGCAACACAGGCAAAAGAGTGCTGTTTTAAAAGCCATCTTTCCCTTACATGTGTCCAAGCACATACAGAATATGTAAAAACAGACCTTGACACCACGGAGAATAAATATTAACCCTTCTCCGCAAACTGACAGAATAACTGGGTTATAAAAGCCACGCATGTTATCTTTTACCCTGAAGGATCCCCAAAGGATTTTACAACCCAGAGAAAGCCATAAAATAACGGGATGAAGGGAAATAGGGCTAACTACACAATGAAGCAGTTTGTTTTGCAAGAGCGATACCGCAAAGGCCCAGAGCAAATCAGCCATTTGAAATGGAAGCATTTAATTACCCCAGCATGACCTGCTGTCGAGGGGCTTTAGGGTAGACTTTAAGACATTCTTGCTAAAAAGTGAGCATTAGCAACGTGATTAAATCCAATTATCGAGTAGGCGAGATGTTCCGAGCTACAACCACCACAACCACTTGGTTGGTAGGTGTGAGATGAGCAACAAGCTAAATCTGTCTGGATATTGGGAGCGGGAAGGAAAAAATGTGGGGAATAGAGGTAGAAGCCCAGTTGTGGGTAGGGGAAGATAAACTGGATGGGTGGAGAATTCTGCTAAAAGCAAAACGCAAACATTTTAGGAATTAATTTCCTGTCCCAGTTCAAGGTAGATCTGTTCAAGGGAAAACTGTATTGTGCTGCTGCCTCAGAAAGTGAAGAGATTGCAGGAGTCCCCAAGTCAGTGAAGTGCCAGTCTAAAAGTAAAACAGAAATGGGGGCAGTAAATGAAGAGTATGAGGTGGTTCCAGCCAGAGACTCCCTCTTCCTGTCCTAGTACCCATAGGTAATGGACAACGAAGGCTGAATAGATTGGGATTTTAAATACCTTTTGTCACAATTTCTGTCAAAGTCCAGGGGTGTGGAGTATGTGGATGGTGGAGGTTCCTTGCAATTCTGGGGGTTGGACTAGATGATCTTTAAAGGTCCCTTCTAACCCAAACCACTATGTGAACTGTAAATCAACTAACGAACCAAGTATACGAATCCACTCCTGTTCAGTCAAGCCTTTTAACTGCAGACCTCCTGAAACAGGGGATGTCGCAACATCTTTGCCTTATTTATAATAAGGGCTATAAACTAATAATCCCTCTTGAGTGCACCTGGGGCTGCCTCCTCTCTGTTTCCCGAGTGTTTTTTTATCACAAGGCAAGGAGAGCTTTGCAGTGTGAGGCTGTGGCTGTGACACAGCTACCCACAGCGAGGAGAAAGAATCCCAAGAGCAGAGAGAAGCAGGAATGAGAATGACATTCATCCCACACCTACGCAGCCCAACGCTTGGAAATGTCAGGCTACCTCCAACAAAACCCATTCCTGCAGCCCAAGTGCGTCAGGCACAGTTTTATCATTTCTTCTGCCTAAACTGGATTTGTTGCACATTCCTCCCAATTACAAACTGTACCTGCACGGCCACGATTTGACATTCAGAGCACAAATCATACATTTAGATGTGGTGTTGGGGGATATGGTGTAGGGGAGAACTTTAGAGTAGGGTAGACGTTTGGACTCGATGATCCCGAGGGTCTCTTCCAGCCTAGATGATTCTATGATTCTATGAAATCAGCTGAATCTGTTGGAAAAATCTTTCCGTTGGGGATCTGAGCTAAACCAGGAATAGGAGTCTAAAAACCAAAATGTCCTGCTGGCCCCGATTTGGTTCTCATTGCAAAGAGGTTTCAATGATTCTTCCAGCAAATGTCCAAGTATGGCCTTAATGAAGGATTATAGCACTGGGTTCTTCCAAGTGATGATGAGAATAGGACTCTAGATTATAGTTTCTAAAATGGTAATTAAACAAGGAAAATTAAACGGGACCTACTATCTGGCTCTGTGTCTTGGCTAATGAAGATAAATTCAACCTCTTTCTACATATGTTAATTAACAGCTGTTTCACATGCTACAAACAAATGATATCGATTAAAAATGAAAACAAATGACAATAAACATAGAAAATCTTTCACAGCATTCAAGGCTGTGAAGTTACCCTTTGAAACAGGTATAAATCATCTCATTGAGGCAATATGTAAGCAATTAATTCACTACTTGACCTCCTACATTCAAGTATTTTAAGTATCCCTCCTCCTCCTCTAGGAAGAGCAGGTTATTGTTGTCGAAGGCCACATTTCAGGGCTTAAAAAAAGGTGAGTGGAGATGAGGCATGAGGCATTTCTAAGGACGGGGACCTTATTTCACAAGAAACAAAGGGATACTGTTGGAAGAAGAACACTTGCAAGGTCAGTTATCTGCAATAACCATTTGGAAAAGCGATGAGACACACAACACCAACAATACAGCCAAAAAGTCGGCAATAGTTCCTTTGTATTGCACTCTCCAGGACTCCTCTGCACAAGCACCACGTCCTGAGCTACTCTGAACATTTTTCAGAAGGCTTCCATATCGTCCATCATTTTCTAGACACATCACAGGGCACTTTTTGTCCCTACACTCACCGTGTCTGCTAATGAAGCGGATGCAGCTCTCCACCACCAGGGGAATGGCTTGCGAGGAATCCTGCACAAAGACATTCAAACAAGAGCAGTCAGAACACACAATACTCTGCTCCCATGCACTTCCAGATGTGTTTACCTTCTGGACCGATTACCAAACATCTCAAATATGAGCTATTTCAGGCTTGCATCAAACTCCTATTTTGTCACAAACATTTAAAACAGCTCATCGGTACCCTACGGCCACCATGGAGGTACCTCTCTGCAGAACACTGTCTTCAGTCCAAACACAGAAAAAACTTCTGGATTGACCAGTTTCCAGCTTAAACAACGTTAATTGAAGCTTTCAGTATGGAAATAAGCCTTTCGACTTCCCGAGGCTCTGCTTCACAGCATCACAGATTACTTTTAAGACAAGTGAATCTCTGCCATGTCTGCAGTTATTCCTCCCGTTTTGGGGAACAGCAACCAAGCAAGAGAAGTGCTGCAGGTGCCCTAAGGTCAGATGCTGGTGGTTAAAACTACCACGTGATTAAAAACTTCCAAGTTTCTGTTTATGTATAGCTTTTTCTACAGCAGTTTTGGACAGCAATGCCTCTGATCCATATCAAAACGTTCACTTGTCAGGATGCTCGAGTATCGCACTACAGTCAGTTCAAAAAGATGACAGTCCTCTGCTCAAAAATATATAGAGATATATAAAAACCCAACAGTTCAACCCTTTTCCTAACTTGTTTAATGTTTTTCTTTGTTTTATTGAAGTGTCATAGAACTCGGTCATATAGTGACAATAATTTCTCTACTAATTAGCCCTAGCCAGTTAGAACTAGTTTCCTTTACACTGCACAGAACAACACCAAGCAATTAAGAACACTTCAGAGGCCATTCTGCTGCTCGGCTGCCCCCGAGGACATGCTTTATTAATCATCATCCAAACAGCATTATAACCCCCCCACTTATTTGTGAGTTTGACAGTAGGAACTCAGAGAAACACATATTCTGGGTCTCCAGCAGAGATTAAAACTCTCTGAGCACTTATGTTTTAAACTGTCAGGTCAGAATCAAAAGAACCCTTTAAAACCCCACACAAGTGATTTCATGTATGTTACTGTGAGCTGGGGATTCAGGGATTTAGGTTTCCAAATCAGAGACTCCATCAGTTCTACTTGAGCCAGAACATGCTTCTGAGACACCCCAAAAACGACTTGTGAAAATGGCAATCGAGACACATACGTATTTAATTTTCAGCATAGAAAAGGACTGTTTTTAGAGCATAAAAGAACACCAATTAAACTCAGAAAATGGGAAAGATTTGACTCTGCACATCAAACCCACACCTTGCTCTCTTACTTAATTTCCAATACAAAAAGATCCTAAAAACTACAAAGCAGCCCCCCAAGACAGACCGTATGAAATGAAATTCCAAGCCACATTTTGTCTTTACAGGATCAACATACAAATAGTTTGGTTCTTCTGCCATCTCAAAGAAACCCATTTTAGCTCATCAGACACTAAAAAGTAACAGATCATCCTCTGCATCCAGGGAGAAGAAGCAACTCTGTCGAAGTTGTTCTTACAAGGTGGCACCAGCAGCCAGCAGTTACTGGTTGAACAGCATTGCACTGGGACACCAGTGAAAATAAAGGGAAAGGGGACAAAGAAACAACAGCGTGAAACCCATAAACCAGGACTGTCCAGACTGCTCAAGGCTGCTTGGCATTTTTGGTTCCAGATTTGACAAAACAGAGTAAAATTACTTTTGAATTTTGTCGATGAAAACGGATCAAAGCTGTGGATCCATGTTTTACTGATTGAAGTCACTGAAGAGCAGCCACCAGTTCTGCTTCAGCAAGACTGAAAAGGTCCATATGAGAGAGAGATGGAAGAGTAAAAGCACTTCCCTGTTTTCCACCTGCCCTCCTCTTTGCAACCACACACCTATCCCTGCTTTGGTACTTAAGGAAATGTTTATTAATTACCTGCTTCCGTATGGTGGAGCTGCGCCGGCCGCTGGGGAGATCAGAACCACCCGTCGGTGCAGGAGGGAAAAACAGAACAGAAAAGTCAAGATAATCCTCTACAATCACCATCCTCCTTAATTCAGCGTTCCAAACCATGCGTATTTTGGAGAAGGGAAGGAGCCAAAGATACAAGTCCATCATAACGACTTAGTCTCATTCAATTTACGGGACCTCAGAAAGATTTTTAAGTGACTTTAAATCACTAAAAACCTGAACTTGACACGAGGGAGTCCCCTGCTTTGACAAAAGATTGCCCTTGACATTTTAATTCCGACCATATGGGGATCTGTCATATCGGGCTCCCGGTTCGAGATGAAGGTTGTTATAAATTCCACATCCCCGTTCCCTGAAAGAGCCCACTCCAGAGAGGGGAGAGCTGGGTGGGAGCATCCCACTGTGCTGTAACAGCAGCCATCCTGGAGGCTTTAGTCCAGTTTTTGATAAGACTTCAAACAAATAACTAACAAAACGCCCTCAAACACCAGCACACACTGGCCAGGCTAAGCCTCTCCAGTATAAACCCTGATGGTCTCATTTATTTATGTTGGTAGACATTAAATGTAGAAAAATAGGAAAAAGCCTGGCTTTGCTGGGATTTTTCTCCCCTCAAAATTTATTACTGGGGTTTAAAATTCCTATAGTTTCTTGTAAAAATGAAGCATGAGAGATAACAGTAGCGAGGCCCTAATGTATCATTCAAGCCAAGTCCCTGCTAGGGCAGATGGCTGCTGAATTATAAATAAGGTGATTAGAACTGTGATTTTTAAAAAGACTGTACAATGTGTTAATTCAGAGGAAATTCCTTTTATAAAAATCAAAAACACTGAATGAAAAAAAAAAAAAAAAAAAAAAGAAATCAGATTCCACGGGCTGTCACAGACAATAAGGTCTATTTAAACTATTAGCAGTAATGATTCTTTGATATTTAAAATTGTTTCGTGATGAATAATATTTTATTATTACAGATGTCAGGCTCTAATTAGGACCTGTCAGCTTTGCTTTGCTGTAAGGAATGTGAAAAGTAGTAATGACTCCGGATCAGCAGTAATCACCTGCCTTTTGTGAACAGGCAGGATGATGCACAGCCCCTGCCCCGGCTCCTCGTGCCCAGCGGAGCCCCAGAATCCATCAACTTGGAGATGGAGATTTGTTACGTTTTATAAAAACCCCATCAGGAGAAGCTTAGTTATGGTTCCGTGATGGGTCCTAATTAAAAATGAAAAGTTTATTTTATTCTCCACGAGCTCCTCAATCCAGCCCCGCGGCTCCGCAGGGAGCGTCAACGGGAGGAAGAGTTTCCCAATTTACGTTCCTCCAGCCCCAAAAACACCAACCACGCGGATAAACCCTGGGGAGCCACGGACCCACCTCCCTCACAGAAATACCAACGGGTTTGTAAAAATCTTAGTTTGAAGAACACTTCTCTGGGTGACAGTTTCTCACATCAAAAATCAGCTGCTCACACCTGCCTGCCCCCTTCCTCATCCGGATTAAACACCCTGGGGCAAGAAAAAGTACACGACCTCCATGTATATTTTTAATTTATTTTTTTTCCTCCTTTGGTTATTTTTAACCCCAATCCATTTCCCAGCCTGCTGGGACAAGTGGCCCTGCCAGCAGGGGTATGGTCACAATTTGGTGGCAGCGTAGGGCAGCAGGGAGCACGGAGAGGAGTCTGAGCAGGACCAGCATCAAAAGAAATACTCATTCCTCAGCTGCCAGAGGCTACTAAACAGAGGTATGAGCTCTATACACATATCTATATGCATAAGCTATACCTTGCACTGATGGAGGTAACAGAGATGGCATTTAAAGTCATATTAACCAGCAGGAATTTACTCATATATTAGCTAAATGAGTATCTTTTTCTAACAGACACATATAGAGGGCTGGTAACTGCTCTAGGATGGCAGTGACCAATTTGCAACAGATTTTCCTTAAAAAAAGATCCCCTGAGCCACACCTACCTGGCGAGGGAGCAGTCTGTCCGCTGACCTGTTGAGAGGACAAAAAAAATACAGCATTAGGAGAGAGGAACGGGGAAACACTTCTAATGGCTTTGCAAAGGCAGTTTTAGGAGGAGATGGAGTAGAAAAATCCAGGGGAGAGGGAGGGGGCAGCTCTGGGGTGGGGGTTGCCCCCCCCTGGGGAACCCACCGAAGCCCATCTCCACCACAGTCAACCAGGAAATCCAGCAAAGAGCTCAGGCTGCCCGAGGACTCATCCTTTGGAAAGTATTGTTTTTGAAAACGAGCTCCCTGTGCATTCTATAATTGTTGATTTCTGCTGCCAAAAAACTGGGCTTGTCAACCCCTCCCCTCCCTCCCCCTCCCCGGGGAGCTGGTGGGGCCAGAGATTATACTTTATAAAGCCACTTAGTAAGACTGAAAACATCTCGTGGATTTGTTAGCCCACAGAGCGAATGTGCTGGCATTAAGCTAATTTTAGGGAGGCAGACGTTTAATGATATTTTCCACAAATATATTTATAAAAAAAAAACCAAACAAAAACCAACCCATTCCATTGACTTGCACTGAGTTTGCAAGGCAGCGGCCAAGCGAACGGCTGGAGTAACGAGGAGTAAGAGAGACAAAAAAAAAACCCTACTATGTGCCTCTGGGAATTGTGGAGGCCAGATCTTTCCCTGGTAGAGATCATCATCAGTGAAGCCACACTGATTTCCACCAGCTGAAAATCCACCTTCCCTACAGTTGCCTTCCTGCTCCCGGGGAGAGGGAAGAATGAACGAGGGAAACATCTAATTGCTGATGGCTGACAATTAGTCGAACACATCTCGATAGCCACTTTCCTCTCCCCACGTAAAGCCAAAACAGTGCATAATTTACATGAAAATGTTATTCCGGAGCAGAATTTCCAGCCATCTGTCCCATTTTCATCATAGAATATTCATATATATAAATTACACGGCTGTGGCAACATCAAGGGGCTCCTACATTAGGGTGACAAATGTGTACAGTAGGCGGGGACGTAATTACTCGTAGATAGGAAGACTCGCTGCTATTTTTATTACTGGAACTTGTCATCTTTAGATTAAGGTAATTTGCAAGAGGACTAATAAATGTCACCTGAGGATGGGGCAAAGAAGAATAAAAATCGTTAACAAAACCATGGATTTCCCAGGGACTGAAGACACGCAGCCGAACGCACATTTTTTCAGTCAAGCTTCTAACCACGCCCCGGGGACTTGTGAAAGGAATTTTATTTGCCCATTTCCCAATTAAGTGACATTTTATGGATAAGTCTAGGCACGGTCCCCAGTTTGTACCATGAACCTGCAGCTAATGTGCTTTTGGAGGCGAAACGCACCTCCCTTTCTCAGCTCTTTTTGATCTCACAGATGACAAAAGTGATTTTTGATTATTTTTTTTTTCCCTCCCCGAAGCTGCTGGAGCTCGCCCTGACCCACACTGGGACCTTTCAACGGAGAGACTAAGCAAGCTCTGGGTTGTGAAGAAAACAGAAGCAGCCTTTAAATCTACATAGCAATACAGAAATCGCATTTAATTTCCTCTTTTTTTCCCCCTCCTCCCCAGCTGGAGCCGGGCTCGGGGGGCAGGCAGGTTAAGGGGAAATAGGTCTGGGTATGCAGGGGTCAGCGGTGACCCAGGGATGGGATTAGTCACAGGGGCAGCACGGGTGTCACTTGGAGATATTTAGAGGCTGAAGAAAAATACCCCGAGGACACAGATCTGTGCCCCGGCCTTTCTGCAGGCCAGCTGAAGAGACCAGCAACTTCAAACAATAAACCACAAAACGACGACGACGGTCCCTCCTCACCTTCTAGTGGTTTTGGGCCTGATAAACATGAAACTCTTAATTACTGGAGCAATAAGTATTTTATTTTTATGGTGCATTTTCGAACTGAAAGCGAAGCACTTCAAAGACCACCTGCTGTTTTAAGTTTTCATTCCGAAGATTTGCACACCATAAACTGTGGGGAGCCCAGTTAAGTTACACATCAAACCCCGAGCCCTGCTCCAACGGATAAACCCGGCGACCAGTCAAGCCATTTTTTTTTTTTGCCCTGACATTTAGACTCTTAAAACCTTCTCCTCTGCAAATAGGAGGCAGAGAGGTTTCTATGGAAACTTGGATGCATAGTTTAAGCGTGTTTGGCCAACAGGATTTGCCCATACCATGAAGGGAAAGAAATCTTCCTTTGTTCTGACACTAACAGCAAATGCATATTCAGCTCTGGCTGCCCCCTGACGAATGCCCTCTGGACAGGCAACATATTTGACATGCTCTGAAATTTGTTTGTTATTCTCCCAATAAAAGCCCGTGCCCACGTAGGTGAACGCTATCCAGACCATAGCATGGTCTAAATTGGACCTCAGAGGTGAGAAGAAGCTGAACTACCACAAAAATGAAACTTCTGACCTGCCTAACAAGGCAACACTTCTCAACTCATCAGGAAACTGTAAATCACAAGGTTTGCCCCAATACAGATTATTAAGTGCGAAGCAGAAAGTGTGTGTATGGAAGAGGGCAGGACGAAGGCCTGGGCATATGCTTTACTTTAACAAATAAGCAACACACATTAGTGATTCGTTAAGTATTTTCCATTCATCATTAATCAAGCAGCCATGGAGGTCATTTGGCTTCTCCCATCATTGCAGAGCGGAAAAATAAATTCATAAAACATGAGGGTGTCCACTTTGTACCAGCAATCCCCGACCCTCACACTCAGCTGCCTAATCCCATCAGTGCAAGAGCCTGGCTAAGGGCAGAGAGGAGAGGGCACCACACTCACTTTCTCCCAGGGTCTTCTGCAGAAGGTCGTGTTTGGCCTGGAGCTTTGTTATCAGGTTCCTGCCTTCCAGATACTCCTTCATTTTCTGTGAGGGAGGGAAAAAACCAAGATGGTGAGCGGACAATTCATTTCCTTGATTGCTTCTTTAGGTTACTGGGTTCTGAAGAACAGAACGATACTGAAATTTAGGGTGCAAAGGATGAACCAAGTCCTCCTGGCTTATCTATCCAGGCAAATGTGAAGCTGGGTCCCCGCGTATTTGCGGCGCCATTTCCATTGTTTCCCCATGGAATCAGCTCAATGTTTGGCATCTTTGAAGAGATGTGAGGAGCTGTCATTCCTCTCCTCTCCAGACAGCCTGAGATGGAAATGCACTTCCCTCGCGCGTCACAGGCAACTGAATGAGCAATCTGTTTTAACAAACTAAAAGGCTGCTTCTGTGCTTATTCTCTCACTTAACCTCTCTCACCCCACTTTACTTGTCAAATAGTGCCTCTGCCTCCACGCTGGATGATACACAGGGTTGCAGGGGGGGGGCACGGGACAAAACAAATAAAGATATTCTTTCAGTTCAGATTTGTTCTCTCGGTGAAGCATTATACAATCACGCAGTCGGTTTTCCCACTTCTTTCTGATTTTTCACAGCTCCACAAACGCTAGTTTTTTACAGCTCTTTCATCTCTTACTTTGCAGTTGAGAGCAGCGTTATTTATCTGCCCTCACTGCAGCACACAGAATACTCTCCTCTAGAGCAGCCAGCCACATTATAATTAGGATGTATTTACACTCAAAAATACATAAATAGCACATAACTCTTCAAATATCACAGACCATTCTTTAGAATCATGAGATATTTTAAAAATTCTGCTAGCGAGATGAACACAAAGGAAGCATTCTCATTTAATAACACAATATTCCTGTTCCTGCCTTCAGCTTTCCCCAATTCTATCCACTTCTTTCCAGTATTGCCAAATTAGACTGCAAATCCTTAAGGTGAAAAACCAGTATTTTAGCTAAGGGAGTGCCTGGACCCTGCTTGTCCTCTGCAGGTCATGGCAATGGCAGCCTCATGCAAGATGTGAAGAACCAAGAAGCAATATATACACCCACATGGGTAGTACCTGGGGGGGAAACCTTCCAGAAACCAAGGATGCTGCCCCGGGGGGGCTCTCCCGCAGCGATGTGCACCCACACACAGCCAAAAACAGGCTGGGCTGGGGCTTTAATTAAGTGCCACAGGTCTGGTGTTTTATGTCCCTTTGGCTGACAACATTGGAAAAAAAATTTCACAAGAATTAAGTCCCTTTGGGGAGTCTCAGAACTCCCCGCTTCCTATACTAATTCTGCAAATTTTTGTTGTTGTTTTAGAAGCAAACAGGAAGCCTGATCACTGTGGCCAAAAAAAAAAGATCAAACATATTTTTTGGAATCTCCTTGCAGAATCTGTTCACCAAGCACCAGCTATGTGTTTTACTCAATCAGTTAAATTTTCGCATCAAATTTTGACAGAAGAAAACAGGAAGAGTGTAAGATGTGAAAATAAGCAGAGAATTTGAAGTGGGGATTTTGAGGATAAATCTGGTTCTGGGAGGTGCCGAGCTCCCGTCTCGAAGTCAGGATGAGGAGGAGAGACAGAAGGACTAGAAGGCTCAGCTCCAAGTGCCTCAAACAGAAGCTTAAAGATCAGTAAATCAACTCGATTCGGGAGGGAGTCCAGTTTCCCTTTGAAGCAGACATAAAACTCCAGCTCAGGTAACTGGTGGCCACGGCATGGGATGAGGCACACTGCTGGTACCCCCACCTCTGCTGCTGGAGGAGTTTGCCACCCTCACATCAGGACCATGTCTCCCCCCAGACAGGTACCAGGGACTGTTTTAAAGCAGAAAAAGAGAAGGTTTCCATCCAGTGCAGAATGAGGTGCATTCTTTCTATTTCCTCATGCTTGACATTCTGTACCCTGCCTGTTACCAGTACGCTTATGAAAAAATAACTAATTTCAAAATAAAGCTGCAGGCTTTTTTCTTCTTTTTTTTTTGTTCCCAATGAATTACAAAGATCCACTAGCATTTGATTTCTGGCTTAATAAAAGCTATTAAAAAAGAAAAACAAGTCAAAGTATGGGAGAACTCCTAAGGATTTCCCTTCTGGCAGGGCCCAGCTGGAGTCAGACTTGGCACAAGCTGACACAAAGCTTTAGAAACGGCCCCAGGTCACATTATTTCCAGAGTGTAAAAATTCAGAGGTGAAGATCCGTTGTCAGCCAGAGAGGGTGAGCATTTTGCACCCACCATCTTCCTTCAAAAACCATGCAACATTGACACCCTCTCTAAGCCCATTCCAGTATTTTTCCAGCAAGAACCAGTTGCAGGGGCCACACACAACAAAGCCCAACGTGAATTAGACCACACCTGCCTGCCTTGTGGGAAAGGAGATTTTAGGCTTTTGAGGAGATAAAGAAAAGCAGTTTCTGTCGCTGTCCCACATCCTTAACTGCCTCCAATCTGCAAAGCTCAGCAGTTTTCCTCCCTCTTTCCCCCCGCCCCCTCAAGAATGACTTCAAACAAGGCACTGGATTGAAGGAGGGGGTGAAGCAGATCCCTGTGCCCTGGCAATGGGTAACAGCGGCACATTGACACAACCAGCACGGCGTCTCCAGAGGACTGATTAGCAGGGGAACCTTATATAACACTTACCCATCTCTAAGGGGCTGGCTAATAATAAATTACAGAAGGTTTCCATCCAGTGCAGAATGAGGTGCATTCTTTCTATTTCCTCATGCTTGACATTCTGTACCCTGCCTGTTACCAGTACGCTTATGAAAAAATAACTAATTTCAAAATAAAGCTTCAGGCTTTTTTCTTCTTTTTTTTTTTTGTTCCCAATGAATTACAAAGATCCACTAGCATTTGATTTCTGGCTTAATAAAAACCATTAAAAAAGAAAAAACAAGTCAAACTATGGGAGAACTCCTAAGGATTTCCCTTCTGGCAGGGCACAGCTGGAGTCAGACTTGGCACAAGCTGACACAAAGCTTTAGAAACAGCCCAAAGCTTCAGGCTTTTTTCTTCTTTTTTTTTTTTGTTCCCAATGAATTACAAAGATCCACTAGCATTTGATTTCTGGCTTAATAAAAGCTATTAAAAAAGAAAAACAAGTCAAAGTATGGGAGAACTCCTAAGGATTTCCCTTCTGGCAGGGCCCAGCTGGAGTCAGACTTGGCACAAGCTGACACAAAGCTTTAGAAACGGCCCCAGGTCACATTATTTCCAGAGTGTAAAAATTCAGAGGTGAAGATCCGTTGTCAGCCAGAGAGGGTGAGCATTTTGCACCCACCATCTTCCTTCAAAAACCATGCAACATTGACACCCTCTCTAAGCCCATTCCAGTATTTTTCCAGCAAGAACCAGTTGCAGGGGCCACACACAACAAAGCCCAGCGTGAATTAGACCACACCTGCCTGCCTTGTGGGAAAGGAGATTTTAGGCTTTTGAGGAGATAAAGAAAAGCAGTTTCTGTCGCTGTCCCACATCCTTAACTGCCTCCAATCTGCAAAGCTCAGCAGTTTTCCTCCCTCCTCCCCTCCACCCCCCCAAGAATGACTTCAAACAAGGCACTGGATTGAAGGAGGGGGTGAAGCAGATCCCTGTGCCCTGGCGCCGGGACACGGGAACAGCAGCACATTGACACAACCAGCACGGCGTCTCCAGAGGACTGATTAGCAGGGGAACCTTATATAACACTTACCCATCTCTAAGGGGCTGGCTAATAATAAATTACATTAATTTTTAAAGCATTTCACAGAACGAGCGCTGTAGCGCGTTTTAATCCTTCCAGAGGAAAAAAAAAATAACATTTTGACTAAGAGCTAACAGAGGACTGATTAGCAGGGGAACCTTATATAACACTTACCCATCTCTAAGGGGCTGGCTAATAATAAATTACATTAATTTTTAAAGCATTTCACAGAATGAGCACTGTAGCGCGTTTTAATCTTTCCAGAGGAAAAAAAAATAACATTTTGACTAAGAGCTAATTTCCCCCCGCCCCCTCAAGAATGACTTCAAACAAGGCACTGGATTGAAGGAGGGGGTGAAGCAGATCCCTGTGCCCTGGCAATGGGTAACAGCGGCACATTGACACAACCAGCACGGCGTCTCCAGAGGACTGATTAGCAGGGGAACCTTATATAACACTTACCCATCTCTAAGGGGCTGGCTAATAATAAATTACATTAATTTTTAAAGCATTTCACAGAATGAGCACTGTAGCGCGTTTTAATCTTTCCAGAGGAAAAAAAAATAACATTTTGACTAAGAGCTAAAATTATCCCGTTTTCGAGGTAAGAAAACTCAAATCACTCGTTCTCCTTTTCACTTCTCAGGTGGGGCGGGGTGCCAGCTGTCTGACAATCAGGGGTGTGATCTCAGCACTGGCAGCATCCTCACACTGCTGCTGCCTGGGGAGCAGGAGTGTAGCCATGGCAGCGGCGGTACCCATCCCTGCATCCCCGCATCCCCACATCCCTGCATCCCCACATCCCTGCATCCCCACATCCCTGCATCCCCACATCCCTGCTCGCTCGCTGCGAACCCAGTCCTCAGTCCTACGCTCTCCACTGACACGGGGAAGCTTAAGCTTCTATTTCCAATACAAATCTTCCTTCAAAGCCCTAAAAACCAGAGCCATCGCGGCACCAGCGCGTAATGATCTGCCTCTAGTGGAAACACAGCTTCTATCAGCACAGAGATACTACACTCAGCACTCCTGCCATTAAATTCCCCTGGTGGCATTGCTGTATTTACCTAAGAGCTCTGCCGAGCTAAAAATGCAGTGTGTGGAATTTCCAACTTGAGCTATATAGTAAGACAGAATACCCTTTCAAATTAGTATTTTTCTTTCCGTTCAGCATTTAGCACGTCTTAAGGTGGGGATTTAAATCTCTGCTCTGCACTGCATTTTCTCCTTACACAAAGAAGGCCTCGCCCATGTCGCTGCACAGCTCTGGCCTCACTCAATAACCATCCAAGCATCTTCTCCTACACTGAAAAACCCTGCTCCTTACAGATTCAAAGCTTGAAATCCTTATAAAGGATATTTATAAGTCCGGTCAATAGCAGATCAATCAAGCATCTGATTAGGCTGGTCAAAGAGGGTCTCTGTGGAACAGCTCGGAGCTGGTGGTTATTTCACCCCTCCTGTGCAGGAGGTGACAGATCCCACCTCGCTGGGACCTCACTGCTCTGCAGCAGGACACCAACATGATGAAACCGAAAAATAGCACATCCAAATAAAGTCCTGGGTCTGGTCTCCTATTTGAACTTACAATAGTCCCTCTCTAGAGAGGGAACACTTAAGAGTTCTATTAAAAAAAAAAATCATTTTTCCAGTTTCATAACCCTGGGCAGGGTGGTCAAGCCTTTCTCAATTGAATGGGTTTCTCCACCCGCTTTTCTCAATAGCCAGTTTCACCTTCTACAAAGGCTTTTTAATTTTTCTTAAGTCAAGGCCTGCCAGAACCCACCCTGCCAGCTGGTGTAATTTCCACAAACTTCAGACTTTTAATCAGCAACACCATTCTTGGAAGAAGAATGTAAAGGGCAGTACATATAGCAAATGATGCCCAAAGGAATGCAAAGTAAGTGGGATAAGAGGTGTGCTTTTCGTATGCTATTTTGAAATGTTTTTCAAATGGAAGTGGATCCAACAGCTTAACATAAATCTAATTTAGGAAAAAAACATACAGTCTGGTATGAAATTCAATACAAAAAGCTCTTAGCATCTTGTAAAAATGCATTGACACAATTAAAAGCTTATGTGAGCTGAAATTGCAAGATGATAATAACAAGAAATCAAAGAGCTAAACATTCTCTTAGTCTGCACTGTTTTTGAAAATTGATATTTACAAGCTATTAAGTTCTTTCTCAGACAATTCCTTTTTAGACGCAGAAGAAATCAAATTTTACACAATTTATTCACAGACTAAGTTTGCATCAACAAAGGTATCCCAATATATTTGTAAAGAATGCAAAGCACCCGTTTTTAAAAGCTAATATGCTTATTCTGCTTGTCCAAAATCAATTACAGAAGCGTTTTTGTAAGATGATAGCCTCATCTGGCATTCTCTTGTGAGTATAATTCTAAATACATCGTTTGTGCTCCTACTGAACATGAACTCCTTACTGTGAAGTAGAACTGCTCCGTCTCCTGCTGGTTGGCCCGTCTCTTGGCGATGCTGGGTTTGCTCATGAACGTTTCTGAGACGGTGGATTTGACAGACTCCATGGAGTTGCTGTACTGAAAGCAGTCGGAGACATCAAAGTCCTCTATCGTCACTATGTCCTGGATTGTCTGGAGAGTAGCTTCCATAGTCTTCTTCACCTGGCCAGCAAGAATGAGAGTACTTAAAAAATGAAGATAGTATATCATAAGTAAAAACAGCGGTGTAAGTCCCCTGGAGCACGTTACTAATAAATAGATATTACTGGTTTCATGTCCCCTGTTTTGCTCGTTACCAGCACAGTCCATGTAAGCAAAGGGCTGGCAGCACTCAGAACCTGCCAGGGGTGGGAAAACCCCTGTAATCTCACAGGCTGGGATGAGGAGATGTAAGGAAATTTACCCTCAAAGCAAAGAGTGCTGCAACAAAGCTCTTATAATCATCTTCTGTAACTACATCTACTCAGCATCAAAGATAGACATTAAAAACAGGACTTCGTGGCACTGTCAATTTTCACTGAAGGCCAGAATCAACTTCTTAGACATAAAGGAGTTGCAAATTTTGCCCAAGGAAGATTTAAAAAATGCCTGAACACAGAGATGCAGATTAAGTATTTTAACCCATTCCCAAACGAATGCCATTGATCTAGTCTTCTCCTCTTAGCTGGCCAATTAAACAAAAATTAGCTCTTACCTTAAGTTATGGAAATTCACTGTCTTCACTTTATATTCCCCTTTTTCTATTAGCTATTCAAATACAGCTTTTGCAACACAGCCAGTCCTATCAGCTTGAGGATGGGAAAAGAGACACAGGGGGGTATTTTAAGGATGCTCTCCGTGCACCCAGTTGTCACATGAAATCACACCCACTAACGCTCTGCTGGCCTCAGTTGCCTTATTCTTGAGTTTTACCCCAAGCCTTCATAAAAGAGGACCGCAGAAAATAGATGGAAGTAATAAAAGGGCTGTTGTTTGGGTTGTTGAGCTCACCTCTTCGTTTTCAATCTTAAGCGTCGATAAGCGGGACTGCAGCTGCTGGCACCTCTGCACTAACTCGCTCTGGACCGGTTGTTGGGCACAGAGCTGGGACTCCTGGAAGAGAAACAGCATCCTTTTCAGGGGGCTAGGGAACCCCCCACATAATCAAGAACACCACAAATAATTCATTATATCATTATAAACAAACATCCTCCAAAGGGTTTAATTTTAAATCTTTGTAGCCCTGGATTCTATGAAATGGCAGTTCACTTCCCAACTGCGCTGAGGAGTGAGAGAGAGAACATGATCATCAAAGAAGAACTAGAAAAAAGCAGCTACTTTCAGTAACATCAGCTTGTCGTGAGTTTTTGAAAGTCTGAAGGTCCTCTATCACAGGTATTAGGCTAAATCCCACCCTAAAACCTCAAGAGGAAGCCAATGTGCTTGTTCACAGATGAAGAAGAATTTGGTTCAATGTATTATCCGGGCACCCAGGGCGTAGGAGTGGCTGCCCCTGCTCAGCTGAACTACTGAACAGGTATGAATTGCTATTTAATGAATGCAGTGAAATAAAAAAAGAACAGGTTTGGGACATGTCAAACATGCCAGAACAGTGGGCTTCCCTGCACTGTCACGAATTAGTCTGATTTCACAGCATGAAGCAGCTTTCCTTTTCGTTTGGTACTTGTGGTTTTTTTTTTTTAAAGGAACACATTGATCTCATTGCTTAAGGCTATTGTTTAAAGACAGAAAACTGGAACTGGAGTGATCTCACGCACACACAGCATCATATATTCAGCCTGGTGTATGCAGGACCACTGCTACAAGACCATCAGCCTGCATTTATAAACCCTCGCTCGGCCTTGAGAAGGACCAAGATAAATGATTCAGTGAGTGTGAGCTGGGAACTGAATGACAGTCTGCAGGTAATTCTTTGTCTTGCCAGGATCTTACAGAACACTGCCAGAGCTCAGAAAAACTGAGAGGTCATTTGCAGTCTGAGGGTTTCACTTAAGAGGGAAGAGACAAAGAGAAGCCTTAAGCAGCGCCTGTAAGAAGAGCCCGGCTGCAAGAGACCATCCCTCCAGTCCTTCCTCAGTGTTCAGGGGGAGAATCTAGAAATCCAACCAATTGACCTAAATTACTACACTGTGCATGTGTTCCCATTTAGATCTGTGAACCGGTTTCAGCTTGTGTGACTTTAAACAGTTCCCAGATGGGAAACCGCATCTTGATAAACCTATAAAGCGAGAGATTTTCACTGCCAAAATCAAAGTCCTCTGACTGCCTTGTCTCACAACGGAGATGCAGAAAGTACCACTATAAACCATTTTTGCCCTAAGATTACACACTCAAATGCCTCAAAAAGCCAGCATTTAAGTCTCTTATCTTGTTGCCCCTTCAAATACCTAACTTCTGAGTCTGGCTCAGGGCACAGAAGTTAACTGTGGCTTAAAGGAGAGATTAAAACAGTGTTCCCTATCTACATTTAGCATTATACCTAATTAAGCGTTTTCATCTTCAGCAGCTTTGATAATCAAAACCTGAGTCAGTCGTGTTCAGACATCTGTGCCATGAGCCTCTGCTTAATCTTCAAATCAGCTCCCTTTCCCCAGGCTCCCTCCTGCCTCCCAAAAACAGAACCAAACCAGGTGGCCTTTTAGTGGGTATCGAAGAGGAGGGAAGCAGAACGGCGAAGCAGCGAGAGCAAGAGGAGGAAGAGTGTGGCCAGCAGATCAAGGGAAGTCATTCTCCCCCTCTACTCTGCACTGGTGAGGCCACAACTAGAGTACTGCGTCCAGTTCTGGGCTCCCCAGTTCAAGAGGGACAGGGAACTACTGGAAAGAGTCCAGCGAAGGGCAACAAAGATGATTCAAGGATTGGAGCATCTCCCTGATGAGGAGAGACTGAGTCTTTAGTCTGGAGAAGAGAAGGCTGAGGGGAGACCTTATCAATGCCTACAAGTATCTCAAGGGAGGGTTGAAGGAGGAGGAAGCCAGACTCTTTTCAGTGGTTCCCAGTGAGAGGACGAGGGGCAACGGGCACAAGTTGGAACAGAAGAGGTTCCACTCAAATATGAGGAGAAACTTCTTCACGGTGAGGGTGACAGAGCCCTGGAACAGGCTGCCCAGGGAGGGTGTGGAGTCCCCTTCTTTGGAGATTTTCAAGCCCCACCTGGATGCTCCTGAGTAACATGCTCTGACAAGCTCTAGGCAATCCTGCTTCAGCAGGGGAGTTGGACTAGATGATCTCTATGGTCCCTTCCAACTCTAAAATTCAGTGAAATTCAGTGAAAACAAACTGACCATATCACCCATGTGTGGCTGAAACTCGAACTTCATGGGTGGGCAGAAGACATTGTTGTACATCTCCATCAGGCGCTGCTTATCGCTGTTGGCATCCAGGTTCTCCACGGCGTTCTCGATGGCGTCCAGCCCCTCGTGCTTCGACTGCTCCAGGTTCAGCTCCGCTGACAGGAACGTCCTGAGGGCTCTGTTGAGGCTGGCGTGGTACCCCAGGTCACAACACTGCTGGAAAGAGACACACAATTCCATATGAATAAGCGAAGAAATTCTGTAATGGAAATCAAAATCTTTCCAAAGACGGGAATTATGTAAATGGATAAAAAGTTGTGGGTATTTTATCACCTTCTCTGTGAGACCAGAGCGGTCTCACATCTCCCCCTGATCCCACAGGCATCTTGACCAGGGCTCCTCAGTTGGCCCTAAACAGAATTCTCAGTCTCTAATCCCATACAAACTTCAGCATCGTGTTAAAATTCGTCTCCAATACACCCTAAACTATTAGAACATTCTGGGGAGTTCTCATGAAATACTCGAGAGTCCATTTCATGCTGTTACAAAACAAAAGGTAACAGCAGTGGGTACATTCAGAATATTTCTTCTAACCTCACTTCCAGGGGCGCTGATTCCCACGGAAAACACTCCAAAATCCTTAAATGAAATGATTCAAAGCAAGAGGAAAACAAAGCACTGAAGTACTACCCGGAGAAACAAGACACGGGATTTGGATCATCTGCAAAATTTAATCCGCATCTAAATTAATCCACCCAAAATAGAGGAAACTGCTTAATTCAGTGCACTTCAGGAGGCAAGAACATGACCTGAACATCCCAGGGATAAAGAACAGAGTCATCCAAGAAGCAAACGGCGATCAGTTGGGATGACTTCATTGCTGGGGTGAAACAGAAGAGCAAAAAAAAAAAACTTTCAAGCCGAAAGTGGTGGTGGTGGTCAAGAATTTCCTGGCTCTCCCTGCCACCAGGGTGATGTCACTGGAAGACAATCAAGCAGCTTCATCCCCACCAGGGCCAGGCAGCCAAGTCTTCGTGTTTCAGAAGGGAGAAAGGCGCTTTTCATTAGCTGATCAGAAACAGCCTGAATTTTTCAGACTTCTACTAGAGGGAGTGAGAAAGGAGCCCACCTTCTTGGAATGAGAAGCAAGATTACATTCGCGAGGAGGATCTCCAGAAAGAAAGAGCCCATCTGGCTCGATTGCTGCTCTGCTCTGTAAGCAAAATTCCCATCAAATTCTCCTCCAAGCCCATCATTTGAGTCTCATCACTGTCATTGTGTGCAAAGGCAAAGAAAAAAAGGGGGGGCAGGGAAGAAGGGATGGGGGGAGAGGGAAGAGACAGCAACTGCTGGACCATTCCCCTCTTTCAGAGAATTTCTGTCACCAAGTGCTGCTTAGATGCCGGGCTCCTGTGCCAACAAGCTGTGGCAGGTGGGGAATCTTGTGAAAAAGAGCTGCAGTTGCTGGTTAGGCTGGAGGCAGAGAATTAAAAGGCGATACATTCAATCAGGAAGAACAAAAACTAGCCAAAAAAAACCCCACAAAAGAGGCTTGATTGAGAATTTGCACGTGTGGAGGCAGCCTGGGATCGGCAGCCGCTCAGAGCTGCTGCTCTTCTGCGTGTGCGTGATGATGCCGTCCTCGCAGTCATTTGGGGAAAGATTGTTCCAAATTGGGCCAAGAGCCCAAGGATCAGCTCAGATTTAACAGGAGCTCCTCGTCCCCTCCTCCTGTGGCCAGAGGGCTATAGAGCCACCCAGGGCCACCAGCGTGTCCCCCCTGCACTCACCCTGCTCCAGCACCTGGATGGGGGAGTCACAGAATCACAGAATCTTCTAGGTTGGAAGGGACCTTAAAGATCATCTTGTCCAACCGTCAACCTGACGGACAAAAATAGACACCCACACAACAAACAAGGAGCATCATCACTAAACCAGACCTCCCAGCACTACATCAACTCGTCCTTTGAACACCTCCAGGGATGGGGCCTCAACCACCTCCCTGGGCAGCCCAGTCCAATGCCTGAGAACCCTTTCAGTGAAAAAATTTTTCCTAATATCCAGCCTGAACCTCCCCTGGTGTAACTTGAGGCCATTTCCTCTTGTCCTGTCACCTGTGACTTGAGAGAAGAGACCGACCCCCACCTCTCTACCCCCTCCCTTCAGGGAGTTGTAGAGAGCAATAAGGTCTCCCCTCAGCCTCCTCTTCTCCAGGCTGAACACCCCCAGCTCCCTCAGCCTCTCCTCATAAGACTTGTGCTCCAGACCCCTCACCAGCTTTGTCGCCCTTCTCTGGACCCGCTCCAGAGTCAAACAGGACTCGATGCCCCACACCCCACCTCGCTCAGCACCAGGAGCACGTTAAGCCAGTGAAGTTTTTTAGCTTTATGTTATTGAAGCCAGTGACAAAAAACATTTTTTCAGCCCACTCCCCCACTTCATAACGTTTTTAAAAGTCCGGCACGCCGTATTTATAAATGTATCAGTCTTGCCATCCCTTTTCTGGGTTATATAAATGTTTGATGGAATCGCTCTCCAAGGAAATCAATTTTTTATAAGAATTTAATGATAACTCATTCAAATTCACTTCCCAACATGACAGCTGATTAACCCTTTGCCAGTTAGCAGTCTTCAAAGAGGCCCAAAATAGAAGATTCAAGCAGAAAGAGCCCTCTGTTTTAAAATGCAATTTACATTTCGAAGGGAATGTATGAGATCCTGGAACAAACAGCAATAATATACCTAATTCTGGAAGAGCAAAGTAAGCTTCAGGACTCACACATACACACGCGCTTTATCTTTTTTTAAATTTTGTCCTAGTGACCCTTTCATAAATATGAGTTAATACAAACTTCCCCATTACTGTAATATTTCATTAGCATCAAAGAGCTGCCTCGGTCCCCAAAGTCAGGAAATTCAAAACTACTGGGCTCTGTCAGGAGCAATTTATTGCTCTCAGCTCACGATGAAGAATTAACTCCCTGCTATCCTTCCATGCACAGCAGAGGGGAAACACAATGTGCTGTACAAACATGACAAGTTTAATGCTATTTGGCCCAACACAATCTACTTGTGAGTAACTTTGAAGATTGCCTTTATATTATATTTCAAAATTCAGTATCATCAAAAGATTAGATCAAGGAAAAGAATTAAGACCTGGCTTAAAAAAAAAAAAATAAAATCACATTTTTATTTAGAAGTCAGATGCTTCAGATAACCATCACTGGTTATAATTGTTAATTTTTCGATCCTTCAGATCAAAGGCATTAGTAAATCTATATTCCCCGTGTCTTAACAATGAGATAACTGAATTCCATCTCCTGTGCTCCCAGGCAAGTCCCACATCTTTCCATGCCTTCTGAAAGCAGAGCAGATAATAATTTTCTTTTCAAGATTATGAGGACTTGCAAAGGAGTGTTCAATGGAACGCTTTGAGGCCCACAAGGCGGGTAACGTGGGCAGGGACTCACCCAGACTTAGGGTGGCTCCTCTCCAGGAGCAGTGACAAACCCTGGAACTGCAGAAAAATTGGCTTCTTCTCCAGCCCCACCATCCCTGGTGGCCCAGAGACACCGAGAGGAGCAGGTCCCTCCAGGCTGGGTAACCTGGATTTGTCAGTGTACGACTTAAAACATCTCCAGTCCGGGGGTTATGAAACCCAAAGGGATTCTTTACTATCTATGACTCACAAAACTGCACTAAAAACTGAAGTTCTGTTAGTTCAGAACTGAACCGAGCACATCTGCAGCATCTGGCGGAGGACTTATAGGTAAGATTTAAAAAAAAAAAATAAATTAAGAAAATTGAATTATGCTGATGTCAGTTAATCCCTACCTCGTATTTGTCAATATAAAAATAAAGTTACCATTTGTTAAAAAGATAAGAAGGCACAATTCAAGGTGAGCAAGTGTTAATAATCAGAAAAGGTCTCCCTAAGAGGCAGCAGGATGGAACGAAACGTGCCTCTTCAGCACAGCAATTTTATAAAGTGTGACGTTTTGAAATAACAGTATTTTTCAAAACCATCAAGCGCTGACAATCCTGACCTCCAAAGGACAGGTTTAAATAAATACCCAGCAGAAGTGCACTTCATGGGATTTTATGATCAGCTGAATAAATGCATTATATATGCTGTTAGGTATGATAATAGCTGACTAATTAATAGTGATCTGAGTGCTCTTTATTGCCGGTGTCTAGAGACACTTCTGTTCATTGCTCCCTGCTCCTACAAAGGAGGTTCCCTTCAGACTTTGCTGCTGAGTGTCTCTAATTGCCACGGCAATGGGTTGTCCTTGGCTGGTGGGGTGAGACCCTGCAGCAGCCAGTGACCCCCCCACGAGGCGTTCGGTGCCTGTGGTACCCCAGTTCTGCAGGATGAGCTGGGTAGTTACCTGGTTGTGAAAAATCTCAGGATTCCCGGCTTTTCTGAGCTTTCAAAAAGGAGAGATTTGGGGTTTTTTGCTGGGCATTTGAATAAAAGCAGAATTGATGCCCCCTGAATTCTGGGGGCGTCATGCGGCCGCAGAACAGAGGGATTTTGCAGGGGAACATGCTCCTTCCACCTTCAGCTCCGTGCTAAGGAAAGGGGGGGCTGGTTTCTGTAACTAATTTATTTCTTCATCTCTTTGTGCAGACAGAGAGACCGCGAAGGGGCAGCAGCAGGGGGGCTGTTGCTGACACCCCACTGACACCCTTCAGAACCGGCCTGGAAGGGCTCTGTGGTCCCAGTGGCAAAAGAAAAGCATCAAGTTGCTGTGGAGCTGGTGGGTCAGGGTATCAGAAAATGGAAAGTCTAAAAAGCAGCGAGGTTCCTCGCTCTTGTGAAATATGCTAGAAAATCATCAACCTTGAAACATACGGAATTTTCCAAAACAGGTTAAAGGCGGCTTTAGAGAACGGTTTTGCCCTCAGCTCTTTTACTGACTGGTCTACTCTTCTACAGTTAACATTCTTTTTTTAAATGTGCTTCTGAGTTATAATCTTGAGGGTTTGCTTAAAATAGTAAATAGAAAATGTCAAGCAACAGTGTGATACTGCTACCGAGTTTCATTTTAACTAAGCAACTCCTCCTTCTGCACGTTTCAATGCCAGGTTTCTCGTGTGAGCTTTTCTCTGGAGAACAGACTCCCAATAAACCATCTCAGAAAAGCTCCCTTAACAGCTTAATGACCAATTTATCAGGCCTGGTGTTACTCTCTCTAAGCTGCCCACCCAAGACCATCACTCCAGAGCTGCACAGAGGTGGCCAGGTATGTGATGGTGAAGCAGGAGAGGGTTAAAGGCAGTGCCATTCCCTGCAGGCACCCAAGCAGCAGCACTTACATCAATGAGATCAGACAGGTCGTGAATGTAATACTTGAACACAGACGCGTTGGTGGCTTCCAGAGCCAGCAGATACTCGTTTCTTGCCTTAATAGCCTTCAGTCTGTTTTCTGTGTACTTTGCTTGGCGCTAAAAAAGAAATCAAAACCAGAATATGTTTTTAAAAAGAGGTGCAGCAGGAGCATTCCCAGTAACCCCACTGTGTACTGGCCAAACCTTCCTCTCCTCCCACAGCTTTTCTTCGTTGGGATTCCAGTTTTATCAAGACTAAAAAAGAGGTGCAGCAGGAGCATTCCCCAGTAACCCCACCACGTACTGGCCAAACCCTCCTCTCCTCCCACAGCTTGTCTTCGTTGGGATTCCAGTTTTATCAAGACTCAAAGACTTAGAATTTAGATTAATTATTTAGATGTTTTTAAGCATTACTATACTAGACAGTTTTGCATTTAAAGGCTTGGCTGAAAACAGACTGCGGGTTGGGGAAGATTAAGGGAAGAATGAAGGAAGAAGGTGGGTTTCTGAGGTTATGGCCCAGCTCCAGCGCTACCGGAGCGGCTGCCCAAAGCCCACAGGTCTGAGGGCTGCCATGGGCACTCCACCTCTTCCCGCAGAAATTAGGCCTAAACTTGGTCCTTTCAGAGCTTCAATTAATCCAAAAATAACTCATCACCTTCTACTGCCTTGAATCTTAGCACTGAACTACTTATCTGACCGACCATATTGCTAAGGCAACTGGTTCTGCCCGAGAAACCAGTCTGGGATCATGTGTCTCCCCATAGCACCGGCCAGACCTTCACCTGACGTGAAATGGTAAACAAAAATCTTGTCCTCTGTACAAGAAAAAAAGATGTTAACCATGACTTCAAAGAAGGCAGTTGTTACTTTCATACTCTACCCTTGCTTTAGGTCTCTGTGCCGTGTCTGTGTAACCTGGGACAACACAAAATGCAAACCTGTCCTCAAGGCAACCTGGTGCCAGCTTCTGCCTTTCCCAAGTCTGAATATTTACAAACTGTGCAAAAACTGAGACTCGTATTCGAATGTCACAAAGGAGGGACCTCAGTAGCTCCTGTGCTGAGCAAAGGTCCCCTCCAAGCACTCTACATGGGCAGAAGCAATGCCAGGAAAGTACCTTCTCCTTCATTTTCTCTATTTTTTTGACAGAGCTTCGCCGAACGTGCTTTTCTTCAAACTTGACGTTGGATGTTGAGTCGGGGGAGCGGGGTGTCTGCTTGTCCTCTTGCTTCACCGACTTCCCAATCTGCTTTTCTTCCTGCTTCTCTGCCTCCTTCAGTTTGCTCTGAGCACTGATGCTGTCGGCGTTGTACATGTGGTAGGTTTTCATAACCTGCAGAAAACAACACGCAAGGGTCAGAGAGCTCCGTGGTTCGATTTGATGAGGAAGAAATGGGCTTCCCTCACCAATAAAGGAGGCATGCAGATGTTCTGCCTTAACGTTATCTGCATGACAAAGTCTTGGGGAGAAGAGTGACACGTGTCTGGAAAGCTCACAGGATAAGAGGGAGGAAAAAATCCTAAGAAATAAGTCACACTCTGCAACGCTTTTTTTTTAATTTGCCCAATGCACTCCCCAAAACCGTAAGTTTAACATAATTATTTCATAACAGCTGTTCATTATGTTGATATTAAATGCAAGATATCATACTAACTAAGCAAGGGCATCTGGACAGTGACCAGCAAGTCAGACCTGGCTGTGAGTTAGAAATAGCTAAACCAGAAAAATCCTCAGGGAAATTTCCCATCTCAAAAAAGCAGGACAGAAGAGGCAGGAAGGAAAGTGTGGCTCAAAACAAATCTGAAATCAAAGTGGATTATTTTGCAGCTGCTTCTTTGTTTATCTCTGACATGCGCCTTCTTCTTCAATCCAATAAAGGAGTCATAAAAACCAAAAAAAGACACAGACTAAATCCAGCCTCCTTACTATTCAAAGAAAATTATATGCCAATGTTGGAAAATGAGGGCTTTTCATCAGCAGGTAAGGTTTCAGAAGGGATGCCTATCAGTCTCTCATCTGGATGAATCAGTCCTTTAAACATCCCAGGTCTCGAGGAACTGTATGCAAATCAACAGTCTGAACACAATGGCTGCAAAAGCAGCTCAGGTCTGATTAAAATCAAATTTGATACGTAAAAAGTACTTCTGTTCACCCTATGTAATAAAAACATTAATACAGGAGTGTGGTTCTGTTGCTCAGGGAGACCTGAACCCGATACTTTATGGACAACTTTTACTGTAGCCCATTTTTTATAAGTAAGTATAGATAAATATCCCCCAAAGTCACAAAAAAACCTTATTTATTCCACAGGTTATTCATGTCTAGATTTGTGTTAAGAAAGCAGAACGAAAAACCCAAAGGAAACAATATATAAACTACCTTTTTTATATCCAAAACTGCAAAGCAGTTCAATTCACGTACCAAAGCAAACACTATTGTGATACAATTTTGATGGGGGGGGCCAAAAATTGCATAAAGACACCCCGATAGTGTCGTTCCAGCGTTAATAAAGACCCCACTTGCGAATGTACCAAAGCAAACATTATTGTGATACAATTTTGATGGGGGGGCCAAAAACTCCACAATTGCAGAAAGACACCCCGATAGTGTCATTCCAGCGTTAATAAAGACCCCACTTGCGAACCATTTGATTTATTTTTGGATGAAAACCCATTTACACCTATTTCACCTTAGCTTGAACCATAACATCACTTCACGTAAGTAGGACGCATGCTCTCTCTTTGTGCCGTGATCGGCAAAGGTTCTCAGATACAAAGAGATGCTGTATTTAAACATGAAAGAGAATGTGAACGCAGCCAGTATTAAAGAGAGACTTTCTGAATAATTTACACATACACACTTTCAGCTCCTGCATATGCTTAGACTATCAAGTAGGCATTTATAATAATAGATGCAAAGTAGTTTCTTTTCCTCCATCACTGAAAGTCGAAGTGGCAGAAAGCAAGAGAAGCAGAAATAGAAATCAGAGTTTTAATGGTTTCATCCCGCTGACGGTGCCGCATCGGCAGCCACCACCTCTGCCTGCCCCATCTCTGGCCACAGGGGTGACCCTTGGCTCAGTCTTCCTACTCCTGAACTCCCTCTTTTCCTAAAAGATTAGTCTGAATATTTGGTCTCGATGCTCTAATGAAGCAATTCCCTTCTATACATTTTGTTGATATGGGAAATTTCAGGGACACGCCCCCTCCAATGGCTTGGGAAACATCCCTGGATCATTTTTTGAAAGAACAAAGAAAAAGAACATCTACCTCAGTGTAATGACCCAATGTGTCATTAAGGAAGGACAAAAGAAGACATTATGAGCAACAAAATTGTGTGTAGGTTCTGCTTTTAAAAGAGAACTGGCTCAATAACAGCTGGAGAAAGCAAAAATTTAATCAAACAACAGACTTTTCCATTCATCTAAGTGAGGAGAAAAGTCCCCAAGCAGCACATGAACTTTTATGAACACATTCCTTCTCCTTCCCGAGGCAGTGCCTCTTCCTTGGTGTCTCCAATGGATAAACTGTGAAGCAAAAAGCACAGATGGAAGAGAATGACTCTGAAGGGAGCTGTTTTGCTGAGAGAGCTGAGGAACAAATAAAGGGAGTGTGTCCCCACTGAAGCTGTGTGCTGCCTTTTGTACACCCAGACCACACAAAACCACGGACTGAGGAGTTTTAGCCTATTTGAAAATAATTCTAATATCTCTTTTTAAAACCACCACTGGAGCTGGTAGCGGGTGTGCGTTAAGGTGAGATCTTTGAGAAGTGGAGCCAGCACTTACAGAGCTGAAGCAATATAAGGATAGAGTGAAAAAGTGAGATTTATGGTGCTCTACAGACCGGGAAACACAAGCTGCCTCAAACTGCAAAGGCTGCAGACATTTATCAGTCCTGAGGCTCAGTCTGTGCTGGGAACAGCAGCCTGGGAGAAGGCAAACTTCTTCCTTCTGCCTGAAAAGACGCCAAGAAGTCAGTTTGATTTACCGTGTAGAGTTCATTCAAGACCTTCATCAAGTCTTCCTGGAGCTGCAATCCCACTTCCTTGCTCTGCAACAAAACAGAGAAATGAAAGTTAATTGGGGAAGACAGTAAAAAGGCGGAGGAAGTCAGCACGCTCCCCAGCTACAAATAATTTCGGCTCAATTAAGCAGCGCTATTTAGGCTATAAATCCAATAACTGCCCAGCCCAGAGCCACTTCTGGTCAAACTGCACAAACAGTATCAATAAACCAAAATGTTACATACGGATTTACAGTATGGAGGCAGGGCAATTTCCAGAGAATGCAAGGTTTTTATTCATAAAAGACATGCAGGTGAGTAATTGGAGAAGTCAAAGAAGAGAGCAGATGTCTCATCTCTCTACACTAACATTTCTATTCACAAAAAAGCAGGCAGGCTTAAAAACTCATAATCTAATAACTATGTTTTCCCCACATTTTCCTCACTAATTAGAAAGTAGAAATACTCCTACTGCTACATGTAACAAGAACTTTATTCTGTTTATATAGATTTTACTACACATTTCCCCACTAATTAGAAAGCACAAATGCTCCTACTGCTACATGTAACAAGAACTTTATTCTGTTTATATAGATTTTACTCAGTTACTACCTACTAAGGCAGCGTTTGCCTGATTGAACCTTCCTGCTCTGCGTGATAGAAGTACATAATATCTACTGGGTCAAGCACATTTGATAGTTCAAGACTATTTATGTCTACAAAGTTCAGGAAAAATAAAAGATAGAGACAAATCCACACTTAAACCAGCATTTCTGCCTAAGAACTCAAGATAGCGTTAAGGCAAGAGGAAAAAAATAAAACACCAAACCAAAATGTACTGATAAAAAGCAAAAAGAGAAAGATTAGGTCAAGATAGCGTTAACGCAAGAAGAAAAAAAACAAAACACCAAACCAAAACGTACTGATAAAAAGCAAAAAGAGAAAGATTATATAATTTAATTTTAAATTATCCTTTTTTGACTCCCGTCCAGTTCAGCAGTGCTGAGTTTACTGTGTTTCTGAGATGCTACATGTTTTATTATGGACTGTTTATGTCTGCTGTGAGCCATTCAGACCAGTGTCTGTGGTGCAGTGGGATGTACAAGCAGAACCATCCCAGGTCGGATCCTGGGCATTTCCAAACCTGCTCCCCGGGAGGCCAGAGCTGCTACTGGAAAAACCAGTGTCTGACACAAACACTGACAAAGGGGAGCATCCTGCTTTTTTCTGAGGAGTCTTTAACTCAAAGGAAGAAGAGAAGTTGGTGATTCCCAATCTCCAGGAGAGTTTATATAATTTAATTTTAAATTATCCTTTTTTGACTCCCGTCCAGTTCAGCAGTGCTGAGTTTACTGTGTTTCTGAGATGCTACATGTTTTATTATGGACTGTTTATGTCTGCTGTGAGCCATTCAGACCAGTGTCTGTGGTGCAGTGGGATGTACAAGCAGAACCATCCCAGGTCGGATCCTGGGCATTTCCAAACCTGCTCCCCGGGAGGCCAGAGCTGCTACTGGAAAAACCAGTGTCTGACACAAACACTGACAAAGGGGAGCATCCTGCTTTTTTCTGAGGAGTCTTTAACTCAAAGGAAGAAGAGAAGTTGGTGATTCCCAATCTCCAGGAGAGTTTGCAGAAATGAGACCTATCGTTTTTCCATCTCCAGAAAGAGAAGAAAAAGCTGGAGCTGCTGCTCGTCACTGGAGGGAGACGGGTCACAAAGACTTTATGACTGCCTTTTTTCTCAAGGCTGGAGATGATAAATGGAAGTGACTGGCTGGGTCTGCTTTAAACGCCCTGAGCACTGAACTTTTCACACACAGGGAGCTTTTCTGCAACACGCTTCACTGCGCCGCTTAAACCGCCTGGACCGGACCAATCGCCTGCCCTTCACCCGCCTCGATTCAGCCCATTTGCTTATTTCTTGCATAAAATTGCTCATTCGCTGGACAAACTGCTGAAGCATCAATTATGCGAAATAGATTAAAATGAATATTTTCATGCATATTCAGGTGGAAGAAGAAAAGGAGACGTGGAAGCGCCAAATTGTCAAATCACAAAACGCTTTGTGCTTCCAAATGAGCTCTCGAGAAAGAACCTGCCACATTGCTGGGCTGGAAACACCCTTCCGTGGAGATGAAGGTAAGGGAGATCACAGGTGGCACAAAAACAAGAGCTACTGTTAAATTAATGCTGCTCCCTGTACTGATTCCACCAAAATAATAAGGTTTAGGAGAAAAAAAGCTGAGCTAGTTGATCCTGATAAATGAAAATACGTGAGAGGAAGCAGAACAGTTACCTTGGGAAAGTCAAAAGTCCAAGAAGCCTTGGACATCAGCAAAAAAGTTGTTGCTCGAGTGCCATAGAGGGTGGTGGACCCGAGGCACAATGAGAACTTTTCTGAGGACCAACAAGAGTTCAAAGAGCACCCAGATTAAAGGCTGCTGACATCAACCATAGTCATATGGGCATAAGGGATTGCAAGATCACGCTAGAACATGGCATGGAATTGTGAATAAAAGGCATGCCAAGGCAAAAGAACAACAGTCTCTGCAGCTGCAAACATCTCCAGGTATCAATTTACATTTCAAGATCAAATTCTACATTATGTTTTCAAAGGCTGACAGTTTAGAATAGTTAGTTTTGTAAACAACCTCCCAGGAAAAAGCAATAAATAAAAGCAAAAGCTAATCTGATAAGCTTCATTATTACCTATTCCTGGCTGTACCTGCAACTGCTGAACAAGCCTGAGGAAGGGCAATAAAATCTCATCTAATTGGCTCCAATAATCAACTGTGTTGGCATGTGGGGAGGGGGTGTCACCACAAACCTCATCCGCTTCTTATCCCATCGGGGCTAAACACTTGTCCTCTTGATCTGGGAGATGATCCAGTTGGATACGCACCATTTAATGCTCCAGGACACCAGGAGAGCACAGGAGCCACCCCAGGATGGGGGACAGGGAGAATGGGGCACCAGCACCCCTTTCCCTGGGCATCTGAGAGAAACACAGCCCTCCCTCCCTCTGCAGAGCAGGGAAATCAGCAGCACCTCCCAAAAGAACAAGAAAATTATCCCAGGAGGGTGACATGAGTGATTGCCCGGGGGTGCTCACTCCCAACCTCAATATTTTTCTCGCAAGCTGCCATTTTCAAGCCTTTTCTTCAGCCCAAAGCAAGGAAGCAGAAGCTGCCCTAAGCGTGTGCACACACACACACACACACACACCCCCCTTTGTGACAAGAGGGTGCACATGCCCCATGTGTGGAGCCGTAGGTTGCTGCCACCCCTCGCTGGAACATAAATTCCCAGCTTCTCAACGGCCTCTTTGTTCCAGCCCTCCTCCCCTCCACCTCCCTCTAATTTAATCAAGATGTTTTTGGGATCTACTGCAGCCCTCGCCGGGCTGTTCCGCATTCCACCAAACATTAACGACTTCAGCTTCCAAATATTTAGGGGGGGATAATAAATACGAGAGGGAAGGAATGCTGTCAACATTTTATGCCCTGGATCTCCAGCCTCGGCAACGTGGTTCCAAATCTGATAGAAAAGATGGTTCGGCTTCAAAACAAACACAGTGTGAAGTTCAGGAGATGTTTTCTGAATAAACTCACCAACAACGAGGAAGCACTCGGGAACCATTGGTGGGTGAACACATAACACACTGAGAGAAGAGATTTTATCTAATACGGTGCCTAAAATTATGTCAACCAGTGAGAGGGCTGGAACTGAACCCAAATCTGCCGATTCTGGATCCGATCTCTAACAAGAGCACTTCTCTACAGCTTTAAAAAGGAATAATTCAATATACAGAGATGGAAAACAAACATTAAATGGTCTAATGCTTTTTGAATCAACAGTGGGAGCTGGGAGGAGAGTGGATTGAGTTCTTGCTGAGACCAGTGAGGAAATTTGCAGAAGTGCAAGATCCTTTTTATTCCTGTCTAACCCAGGTAACGAGACAGCATTAGTTAACATCTAACTATGCATTAGTTAACATCTACTTACAGAGTTTGTTAAAGAGAAGACTTGGTAGGGGGAATTTTCCAAGATCATACACATACCACTTAAATAGAATTTGTTCATTAAAGCTCAGAATTCTTTATAGGTAGATCCTTCATACTGTTCTTTTCTTCTCTTTTCTTTTTTCGACAGACCTGCCTTTAACTCATTTCCATCCGGTACCAAATATGATTTTATCACCTTCATGTTCTCATCTAAACAATCAACCAGCTTTCAACTGCTATGGATAAAGTGCTCGCCCGTTACCACGTGGCCCTACAGAATAGGAATTCTGTACAGACAGCATCTAAAGCTTCAAACTCTCCAGAACTTAAAGAAAAGCCAGGACTCATTAAATCTCAGAATTATTTATAGGTAGATCCTTCATATTATTCTTTTCTTCTTTTTTCAACAGACCTGCCTTTAACTCATTTCCATCCGGTACCAAATATGATTTTATCACCTTCATGTTCTCATCTAAACAATCAACCAGCTTTCAACTGCTATGGATAAAGTGCTCGCCCGTTACCACGTGGCCCTACAGAATAGGAATTCTGTACAGACAGCATCTAAAGCTTCAAACTCTCCAGAACTTAAAGAAAAGCCAGGAAAACACAATCTATGTCATACAATATACACGCATATTTTGGGTGATAGATCATCAGTTCCCCGTTTAACGATCCATTATGCATTGGCCAGTCATATTTAAATTGCAGTTGTATTATCTAGTTTTCTCCACCATTTCGCTGGTGATTTGTTTCACCCCTATGTCAGTAATAAGGAATTTTCCTTAGCACAGCGGAATACTGTGCTCTGAAAAGCCAGTCCTACACCACACCACGTCACGCCGCTGCCTCCATACTCGGGGCTGAGAGAGCTGCTTCCAAACAACCCCCACTCCCTCTTTCTCCCTTTTTCTTTTGGTTTGGGTTTTTTTTGGTTTTTTTCAGAATTCTGTGCAGATCCTATTGAATCTTGAATCTTCAGACCCCCAATCCTGAGCAATTTTATGGCTGAGAGCATTCATTCTTGGCAACGTTTTGCCCT